AAGCCATCAATCATTGTACTTTTCCAATTTGGGTAACTTGGAATATGCATATATAGTACCTTTGGTTGGATGGATAGTATTAGGTTCTAATATCTCTCTAACATTTCTGGGAACAATTATATAAGTTAGAAATCTATGGAATGAAATGTTTAATAAAAACAGATTTAATCCTTTTTCCTGTGCTAACTTGACTTCATGGGGAAATCCAACATTAAAAATTGGGGGGGAAATGGTAATATGGAAAAATTGGTTGAAAACAAGGTTAATGACTTTAGACTAATTGATAGACGATGGGATCAATTTTTAACCTATGTTGTTATTAAGATAAATATCTGTCAGATGTAACTCAGTGGCAATATCCACAGCTACAACATTTATTAATGATATTGTTGGACCAGCAGCATTTTCAGTTTCTGAGATAATCAAAATACTAGAACCACTAGTTAACATATTTTAAAACTAAAAAGACTATTATTAGTTTTTATAGATATTTGTTATCAATAAATCAATTTGATATGCAAAAGTTAATAAAGAATTATAAATTCTAATATTGTCTAGACAATGAGAGTGTTTAAGTTCTATAATAAGAGTTAGTGGATCTTAAACTATGACTTATACAACAACTTTTTTTCTATTGTACTTTTTAAATTATTTTGTGTTTTTCTTTTTCTGTTATTGTTTTAAAAAGCAATTTTAAAAACCCATCATTTTTACAGTAGCTAGATTTGCTGGGCAGGGAAGCTGTCTGGAGCTCTATTTTCAGATTTTATTTTTATTTTTTTCATTTAAAATGTGTTGACCAGCAACATTCTATTAACCTGAAGAAAAGATTGCCTTCTTTATATTAAACTGCTGTTTTTGGCACTAGCTGTAAGTTAAAAAGCTTCATTATGCAAGGAGAGTGGATAAGGTTCTGCAGCAAACCATGGCAAGATTATAATGCTATCCACACTTCTGCATTTGACAGAAATGTTATCCTCTCAAAGCTGTTCTAATGGCTCACATTCATTTCACAGTGTGAACCTATTTAATAAAGTCATTCTGATTTATTTCATGTCTTTTTGTCTTTGGGAACAACTGGACCAAATCAAAACTAGCCTTACATACAGTATAAAGAGATCTTATCACATAAGGTTCTGGAAAGAAGGAAGGTGAACCAATCCAGATTTTAATTCTATTAATTATGAATTAAGGCAAATACAGTATACATGTCCCAAGATAATGATGAAAGATCAAATTTAGGCCCAAATTCGATCCTGCATTAATTATATACATTCTTTGGCATGCATGAAGAAGGATGTTACAGTTTTTATAGATACATTTTTAAAAGACCATGGTATTCACGCCAGGTTAAAAGAATATGAATTACACAAAAGAATGTATACATCAACCATTGCAACCATGATGCTTGATGGAGTGGGAGAATTATCATCAAACTAGGATAGACTTTGCAGATATGTACCTACTCTATTCCAATGATACATGTAGTCCATTTTCCCATAAACTACCAGAGCAGAGAGATTTGGAATTTAACATGAGATTCCCATATAAAGGGTTTTACATGATTTCCACCAACACCTCTCTTGGAATGGAGGAGAAATTTTTCTATTTTTACATATTGTATATGTGAATATTCATAATTATATGATTATCTCTCACATAGTAAACCAGTAATCCCACTAAAAGAAAAGCCAGAGGTGTGGAAACAATCCTCAATATGAAAAGAGAAAAGGAAAAATTGGCCTGCACTATAGGTCATCCAGATTAAGGCAACAGTTTAAATCTCATAAATAAATAATAATTGATTTTTCTGTTGTTGTTTTTTGCTAAAATGATGAATAAATGAAAAATCAAAAATTGAAATAGTAGTCTAAAACTACATAAAGCTGGGTAAATCAAAAGATAGAATAATGCCTAGAAATGTACATCAAATAAGGAATCTCAATGTCATTCTAATCAGTTATGCTTGTTCAGTAATTCAGTAGGGCGTTTTTGTTTTTTTAAGAAATTGTGTTATGTTGCTTCAATTCTATTACTTAACTATAAATTAAGCCCCAATTAATTCAATGGACTCTGTGAGTAAACCTGCATAGGACTGAAGTGAAGTCTTCTATGTGGATTTACAAGGAATTTGGTGAATCTCTTTGGACAATAAACATGGAGAACAAAATGTTATAAATTAATACAAAACAAATCACTGAAATCACAGAGAAAGGGAGATTTATTTCACACTCATTTTCAGGGAATTTACATATCGATACAGTATTTAAAGACAGGCATCTAGCCAAATCATGCTCTTGTTAATACTATTGGCTTCAAGATGTCATTTTTATGCCACCTCAAAAATTGTGCATGACAAACTGCGGAGAGTGACTGCATTAATAGACCCAGATAACTAGTCAAAACCACATGGGAAGGGAGAAGCCAAATGAAAGATGTATGTCCATGTTAATTTATCATTGTGCATTATCCTGCTTATATACAATTGGGACTGAAATCCTTTAGTTTGGTCTAAGGTTTAAAATAAACACTTAACAAATGAAAATGTCTTTGCATTTGGGAGGAAAAATACTTATTGTTAAATAAACTAAAGCAAAATAAATAAATAAATAAAAACGTACCATTTGCTAGTCAGAATGAAATGAGATTCTGCCTTGTAGTCTTTCTCAGCTGCGATTGAATAATGTGTCTCTGCCTCCTGTCAGACATATGATACTTTATCCCATAATAGACCAAACTATCTTCTCACCAGCTGAGCTCAGGGTCATTCCCAGGTCAAGCTGGTTAAAGATGGCTGTCAACTCATTGCCAGAGTCACAAATGCACTTTAAATCACCTTTATCTCACTTAAAATGTTGATGCTTTCCAGCGATGACTATAGCCATAATCATAACATTGAGATGCAATTTAGAAGAACATTTCATAGAACCTCTGAAATCCTAAGCTAAAGTCTGTTTATATAAAGTTCAGTATACCTCATGTTAGGGAAACTGCATAATAATATAAGTGACAGTATCAGTAACAAAACAGTTATAATACTTGCAGTATGTCAGAAAGAAGGTTGTGGGAGAGGGGGGGCAGAGAGATCCATTATAGTTTCTAGGTACATTATAAATGGCAAAGATGATTTTAAGAGGGAACAATGAGAGAAATGCATCTTTTTAAAGTGGAAAGTTAATTATTCTTCTGACAAACATATGCAGTGGAAAAAATTATGGGAAGAGAACACATTATTATATCAGTACTGTTTCACTGAATGTAATAAATTGTGATAAATTCTCCTTAGAACTGTGACTATTTCTTAATTATAACTTTATGCATGCTTTATTGATATGACATTTGTTTCACTTGTCATTCTTGTTAGCAGTGTTAATTTGACATTTATTTATTGTATATAAGAGCATTTAAGTTCCTGTAGACATTTTGAAATCCAATTTACTGAATTCCATGGATGCTGGCACAGAGTATAGTATTCACAAGAATTGCAATGGCTGTAGGAGCATCATTTGAAATAAACAGTCTGGCAAGATTTACATCAGATATATAAATTAACAACTCCTTATATTGATCTATAAGTTCTTATAGTCCTCACCAATACAACTAAAGAGCAAGGCTTATGACATCTGTAGTCCAAAGGACACGGGATTGCCAAATTACCAGATCCAGATCTAAAAAACAGAAAAATAAGTCCTGCAAGCCCCTAGGTTAAATCATTGTAACTTCCTTATCTGTCTACTTTATTTCTGCCAGTAAAGTATAATTCTATAATCCAACTTTTTTTAAAAAAAAATTGAACAAATACATTGATTTCAAGTGCAAGCCCAGAATAAGGAAAACTCCAGTACATGTCTTCTCTTGGCCAGTCATTGTCTTTTACTCTAGAGAGTTTTGTGATAATGAAGTTTAGATAAAGCCAGAGATTGCCTTTGAGCTACTTCAAAAAAAAGTGAGTTAAAAATTGTTCCAATCTAAATTTCTCTTGTAATTCATATTTCTTCTATGAGGTGTTTCCTAATATCTTTTGATTTTTGTTTTGGTTCTACTATTTACTTGTTCAATAAATTAACCCTTTTTCACTTGATAACTGCATTCTAAATCTTTTCAACAACAGTGGTTGTCCACACACATTAGAAAGATCATATTTAGACTACTGAAGATTCTTGGGCAAATACTGATATCATGTATAATTAGTTTTCATCTGGATCCAATCATTGGACCTATATAATTAGCAGCTTATATTTTTTGAATTTCTTTTAATCATTTCTGTATTGTATTCAAATGGTAGCAAAGAATATGGTGGCAAACATGAACACTGGTGAACTGCAAGAAAAAGAAGCCTCAGATACAGTCTAAGTCCATTCCAAGGTTCAGTAATAGCAAAGGAAGTATTGTATATTTTTTTAAAAAAATAGGCTCAGAGCCTAGTCCAATGTTCACAAATTTGGACAAGGCTGCTCAGTCCTTGTTTTCAGAATCTGAAAACAAAAACACAAAGAAGACTTTAACTGCCATTGTCTCCATTTTTGACTGTTTTTCATGCAACTGACATTAATTAGTTTATAGGAAGAAACTTCTTTATTCTCAAACATCTATTTCCTGAAGCTTTGCACTTCTCATGATTCAGGAAGAATGCTGTTCTCATTGCCTTGAAGGGAAAGAAGCCTTCAGGGAAAGAAGCCTGTCTTTGAGGTCTTTTACTATTTTTGATGCTTCAGGAGAAATATTATTCTACAGCTCCACTGGCTCTTCTTTCAGTCTGTTCTCCCCCTCCCCCACCCCGCTACATCTTCCTCTAAAAAGGATTCATCTGATGAAGTCATAATACTGTACCTCAACCTGGTTGTAAACTTTTCTTTCCTCCCCAAAAATGTATAGCACCCCTGCCCCATGATTAATAATGGGACCCCTCTGAGCTATTCATTTTCTCTCCTTTATGTTAATTCCTCTGCTTATTGTTTATACTGACATAACCTTGCCTCTTGGTTTCCTGTCCTTCACAGGGTTGACATCAACTTCCATTCAATTCTCATCATGCTTTCCATTACAAAAGATGATCCAAGAAAACTTGTATAGTTCTGTCACTGCTCAAATGCTTCATGCCACCACATTAGCTCCACTCAGTAGTGGTAGGACTTCAATACAGCCCAGGTACAGTTACATATAGAATGCTTTTTCTTGATGTGTTATATTTTCATGAATGCATGTAGAAAGGAGTGCTGAATGATATCTATTTATTTATTATTTATTCATTCATTCAATTTCTATGGACACCCATTCAGCCAATGACTCTGAGCAGCTTACAGTTTGAAAAAGAAATACATTATGTGTATATGTATGTGTATATATATATATATGTGTGTGTGTGTGTGTGTGTGTGTGTGTGTGTGTATTTTACAAACAAACAAACACGAACACCAGGAAAGATTAAAAATGTTTAATCTAATGCCAAGCTTCGTCGGCAGTTGGCCAACAAATAATATGACTATACCCAGGATTCGTGTTTTTAACGAAATTAGTTTTATACATACATATATATATATATATATATATATATATATATATATATATATATATATATATATATATAAAACCATTACAAATACTAAAAACATTTTAAAACAATAAAAACATCCAAGATAAATATACATAGCACCCCAAATAATTGGCTAGTTAGCAATTCAGTGAGGAAACCAGGCCCTTAACACATTCAGCACCCCAAGCACTGGAAAATAGCCAGGTTATCAAGGCCTTTAAAAAGGCTAACAGGGTTAGGGACATTCTAATCTCTGAAGGGTGGATGTTCCATGGAGCAGGGGCCACTATAGAAAAAGTCCAACTTTTCAGCCCTACCAGCCAACACACTTTGATTGACAAGATCTGCAGCATGCCCATTCTGCTCTGTCTAGTTGGATAGTAGACACTCTTCTCGATGGCTTTACCCTAATGTATTTGTTTATTTGTTTGTTTTTATCTCACATTTATTTCTTTATAAGTAACTCAAGGCAATAAATATACCTAATACTCCTTCCTCCTCCTATTTTCCCTACAGCAACAAACCTATGAGGTAAGCTGAGAATGACTGGCCCAGAGTCACTCAGTCAGCTTTCATACCTAAAGAGGGACTAGAACTCACAGATTCCTGGTTTCCAACTGGCGCCTTAACCACTAGACAGAGGCTCTTAGATTTCTTTATACAGACCTTTGCCTCAGATGTCAACACTAATGGGTGGATAACAGACTTGGATTCCTCAGGGAGTGACTTATCCTTGCAGTCCACCTTTACATGCCTTTGCATTTCATACTTATCTTTTCCTTATAGAAGAATATCACTGTAAAGATTGAAATAGTAATGCATAGTTTCCTAAAAGAAATCAGAATAATTGAATGGAAGAGGTTGTGACAGGGGCTGCTGTTTCTGAAAGAACAAAAATCACAGATTAATTTCAGCAGGCACTTCTTATATTCTATTAAAGCTTAGCAAATATTGCTACCTTCTCTACAAATGAATTAGTCTTCAGCAATTTTGAATACTGCCTCAAGATGTGAACTATATGCATTTAACAGGAAGCTCCACCAAGTCAATGGTTCTTTTTTCCCCCCTTGCAATAAAAATGGATGAAATGTTAGTCTCATCTTGACATGTCTAGCTAGAAAGGTTATTAGCATTGTTATTAGCAATGAGTCCTTCACAAAATAGAGTGTAGATGGTTATATCTTAAAATGCAATACTATTTGGTTTTTCCAATACTGCATGCTTATGCCACAATTAAAAATCAGATTTTTTTAAAGACATTGGTATAAAATATATCTACATAAGTATAACAATTTTTTAAAAAAACTTCAAATAATGATATAGTATTTGTAACCTTTTTTATTTCTAATAAATCTCTAAAATTAATTTTAAGAATACATATTATATCAAACTAATGACTTCTATCCTTTGAAATGTATGATTTCTTTTTGTAATAATCAATATATAAACTCCCATCTCAGACAAAATTATTTCAGATCTAACTCTTTTCTAATGCACTTATATTGAAATTTCTCAATAATAGCTAAAATGAATGAAAAAATATATTGCATGTACATAATGACAGTATACTTTAGTCAAATGAACTAAAAAACTGGATTCATCAACCACTGTATAAAGTAGGAGGTCTTCAAGAAGCTTCAAGTTAACTCAGTAACATTATTTTTGCTATTGTATGTTATATATGTTCAGGGGTCTGTTAATTAAATAAGCAGAAACAGCAGCAACAGCAACAAAGGGATGGACTACCTTAGTTGTATGACATTTGCTCTGGAGTTCATCTTTCTGATCTCTTTGTAGAAGCCTGTCAGCTCTCATTCCGCTATCTGGATCTCTATATCTAGATCATGACCTCCGCCTGTAAAATATATCCCTAGGGTTTCTGCCCCAAACAGAAATCAAGCCTGTAATCTGTTAACATACCTAGAAAGTGTTTCTTTTTTATTCTGAAATCCCCAAAGATGCAAAAGTATAGTCTCCATGGAGACAAATCAAGATGTAGTACCCTGGAATGGCAATGGTATGCTATAAAATGGCAGGTCCATGTCCAGCTCTGTTAATAATATATTAGCTAGCTTTCCCTAAGGTACACATACATTTACACAAAAAGACTTTCTAGTCACAGATGATTACAGGTGCTTACATAGTGACACTGCACAAGGTAGACTTTTCAGACAACACTTGCTAAGTTCTTGTTAGATTAATTTGGGAAGGGAAAGTTGTCATAAACTCCAAGCTTTTGAATCTGCTATTGATTACATTTGTATCATGAGGAGGAGGAGGAGGAGGAATGTGCAGTATCACTGTGGATAGAAGTTCTGTCTAATATTGATTAAATATACTAATATTGATTAAATATATTTATATCTAAGAGGTTTATTATCTAGTTCAGATATAAAAAAATGTGTTGTATACATGCATTCAACATGTATGTGAAAGAGAAAATATTTTCTTTTCTCCTGTAATTTTATAAATTAAAATTTTCTCCTGCCCTTTTAAGGAAACCCTGCAAAATTAGGGTCTGCTTATGCAGGTTCTAAACGTTTTGCAGTATAAAGTTCCATGAAAGGCTAGCTTTTGATATTTTGGAATTTGGGGTGACAATCATGAACCTGGAATTTATGCGTTGGAAATTTTCCCATACTCATAATGCCCAGTTGTCTGAAATACTTCTTTTCCTTTACCAATAGCAATAACACCCAGCAATTGCCATTGTTAACCTAGTCCTACATGCATGTTTGGAAACATGCATTTACATTTTTTTCTGCATTTTTCTAAGTATTTTCAGTTTAATGGAAATGTCTTTTTCTTTCCTCCAAAAGACAAGAAACTTCTAACTGCACATTTTATAGTTGCCTTAGTTCTTATTGTCCAAGAGGTTCATGGAAATATTATGTTTCTCATCATACAATCATCTCATTTCTCTATGTTTCAGCTGAAAGTCAAGAGAAAATGTAACTAGGAAATTCTCCCCATGAGCTTACTTACATCAGGCAACAGGAATAATCAGTAAAATAATAAAAAGATAGAATGATAAAAACCTAAAGACAATAGTAACAACAGTGCCTTTCACCATTCCACAACAATCATACACACACAGTGTTTTTCTTAGTGGAAGAATCTTACATTTTTTATTTCCTTATCAGGAAGCATTAGAATTTATTAGAAATAAACAAACCATTAGAAATAAAATCTAGAGCTTATTGATAAGGAGATAAAAAATGTGAAATTCCTACACAAGGAAAGACAGTAATTGTGAATTTATGTGAGAATTTACTGCACTTTACTTTCACATAATAGGTATATATGACTGAAGCTAAAGAAAATCAAAATTAATCTATGAATGCATAATTTGGAGACACTGTTCTGTCTCATATTCAATGGGTAGGCACTTGTCTGCTAGGAAATATTTTGTGAATGACTTATTTTTATTCCTTTATTTCTGTCATATTCATATATGTCATCCAAGGGCTATTAATAATATTTAGATTTTTGCTGTATCCCAGGGTGTTGTTTCAATTAATGCCTGATTTTTTTATCCCAGAAGTATATCTATCTGTAAAGTTTCAAAGGTCAAATTTGTCTTCTTAACAAAAGAAACAATATTTTACCACGAACTATTAATTCCAGTCATATAGTAGATGACAATGAATGATCTTGGGCCAGTCACTCTCTCTCAGCCCAACCCACCTCAAAGGTTTGCTGTTGTGGGAAAAATAGGAGGAGGAAGGAATATTAGGTGTATTTGCTGTCTTGGGTAATTTATTTTTAAAGGTGGGAGATAGATAGGTAGGTAGGCAGGCAGGCAGGAAGGCAGGCAGGCAGAATAAATAAATAAATATCTCTGCTATTCAAATTCAGGATCAGCTTCTCTATGCAGCATTTCAGTATTGGCAGACAGCAATACCAATGTCTACTGAGCGATAGTCATGTTCCAAAAGTATTATAGATAGTTTTGCTTAATTTCTCCACCTAGTTTTTCTTAATTCATTCCGTGCCAGAGCTGGAAGAAGGCTGAAAATGAAGGAAGATGAACTGTGTGAAGAGAGACGCATCTTTGTTTGGTTGTAGCTTGATAGGAAATGATGAAAAACATCTGGGGTTATGAAAGTGTCCAGTCCAAGTCTCTGTTTACTGAACTCTTTACAAATACCAGCATCTGTCACCAAGGAATCACAGAAGGGGTTTCTATCCTATCACAAGATCTTGATGGCATGTCCTAGGGCTTCTCCCTAGGGTGCTCAATTGGCTAAAGTATTGGTGAAAGAGAGGAAGAAAAGTGATTCCAGTTTAAGCAAAGAATATATTAATAGGATAAAGAAGTATGAGTGATTGAGTAAGATGCTTTTTAAGAAACTGCCAAGGTTTTGGATAAGCAGGATTTTGAGAGAAAGAAAAGAAGAAATGCGGAAAAAAATAAATTGATGCATTAGAGGCATTTCACAACTACCATTTAAGTCAATGTAACTTATAACAGTATAACTTTCCTACATTAAATTCAATGCTAGTGCACAGTACTATGTTCATGCTATACAAATTGTCTCTGGAGTATAAGAGGAAGTTTTATAATAGCTCCTCTTTTTTAAAAGTAAACCAAATATTGGTTATTTCATGTTCTTCGGAGTTTAGCGAAAGCACTCAAATCTGTTCTTTTGAAAAGGGAAGCTTACAAGTTCATCCTGGACAGTGCACAGATGTAGTTATATTCCAGACTGGAAGCATTTGCCCTATTTAACAATAAACCAGGGACATAGTAATAATATGTCACTGCACTTTTAAACACAAACTGTATAAAAGTAAATATACCACACAATAATAAAAATGTCTATGTAAACTGTTTCTTCCCTATGTGTCCACTTATCCCTACATCTCTCTTTAGCTTGTCTTTGAATGAATGTTATTTTAAAATCAAACTTGAGGAACCTCTGGACTTCCACATATGGTTGGACTACAGTTTCAAACCATTGTCAAGGAAAAGGCAAATTGTAGTCCAAGGAATCTCAGTCCATTCTTGTGTCTCAAAGATGCAATGTGGTAGTCCTCCTAGGCTCACAGCTACTAACAGAAAGACTAATGGAAATTCTATCCCAAGAGGGTCTTTGCCCACTCCAGCCTGATGCATGCCTGTGGCCCTTTTTGGAGCAGGAAACTCTTTCTTTTATGACCAAATAGACTACAGGAATAGATCCTACATGGACTTGTCTTTGAAGAGTATGTGGAAATTACAAAGGGTCGCAAATGCAGCAGCCTGCCTACTGATTGGCTTTATTACTAGCATCATATTACCCCTATTTTTCTGGCTTTGCATTAACTATCAAGAATTTTGGGGGTGCAATTCCAAGTCTTGATATGGTTTTGTACCTGGGAATTTTCAAGATTGCCTTCCCCAGCTGGACTCAATCGATCCAAGAAATCCTGGGAGAAGCTGCCCATAGTATCCCATGTCCATGAAGTGAAGGGTGGTGATCCCAGGAAGCATTACTGGTACTTTTATCTCACAGTAATTACTTGATGCAAAAGTTTCCCTCTAGAGTTTTACTGGCTTCATCTCTGATGGATTTCAGAAATGTAAAGGTCAGACTCTCCCAGAAGGCCTTCAGATGTTATTTGCTTATTTGTGTTATTGTGTGACTTCTTTTGAGTTTTAGTATTTGCTATAAGACACCATATGTACAAGAGGTTTATAGGTTTGATATATGTTCTTTACCATCACCACTATCACTAATAACTGCCTTTTTGGCCAGTGACATTTCATACCCCAATAGTTGGGTCTTTTATCTCATCTCTTTTTAATAAGAGAATGATGATATTCCTCCTTCTCTGATTTGCAATCTAGACCCATGTAATCTCACAGATATTTTGAGAAAGATTGAGTGTGAGTGGAGGGGGGGGGATTTAAACAATGGTTCTCTACTGGTGGCTTGCAAATGGAATCTCTTGATTCTTGCCCACTATTGAAATGGACAGGAGCAATGGTACTGAAATCACTTTTTCATCTCAAGTTTTTGTCTCTTGCAATTTACAGAAGTAATGGTGGTGTTATCCTGAGGGCATACCTCCGCATCTAGGGTTGGAAATCTGTGTGAAGTTGTTCCCCACTCTTAATCTAGATTGCTTTCCGCACCTGCTAAATGAGAATAGCATCAAGATTTTGCATATAAAGCTTTTGTTAAAATCAACAATATATTTTTTTTTTGAATAAGAGCTATTAGAGAAGGAGGAGGGAGAAGGAGAGGGAGGGAAGTAGAAGTAGAAGTAGAGAGAGAATGCACAGAAATGAGGCTGTCTATCTGCCAACTGCAGCTATTAAATCCAAGGGCATTTTGCATTGATTTCTATCAGACATTGATCGTCAAATTGAAGTACTAGCACAAACATAACATAGAGCCTCTTGGTTTAGGAGTTGTATAATGAGATTAGTCTGGAAGATTAACTTGGAAAGAGCCCCCTATAAGGGAAAGAAGTTCTTCAATATATTTCTGGGTTCTCTTTTTTTAAACTAAGGCTTTATCAAAGCAATATTGTTTTCGCAGCAATTATAAAGTAATATATCCGTATCAATAGATGTCAGTCCTTTTCTTATCAATGAAGACAAAGAATACACTATTCATGGATGCTGGAGGTGGATATCTCCTATTTCAATAGGATATAATTAGTCCCGTGGAAAGCAAAGATATTAACTCCAAGACTGTTGCAATGTCAGATGACAAACAGGTATCTGTTTTTGGGGCTAACAGTTTTATTGGCTGCTTTGCTCTCCATAGCGCTGAAAGTTGTAAAACTGGATTAAATAGCCAAACAAGGAGTTAATCCAATATTTGCTATATGAAGAATGAAGGTGTTAGCCTGTTATTTTTGAAACATAGCTTTATTAATTTAAAGAATAAATGAGTAGACTTAATTTACAAATTTACAACTTAGAAAAATAATAGCTCAGTGTTTCCTGTTGTCATCTTTTTTTTAATTGGTATTGGGTTGGTTCTTTTGGGGTTGGTAATTAATGTAACTGATTTATTTTTCATCCACAAAGCAGATATAATAAGCCATTTTCCTCTGTTCTGCTTCATTCCTGTTAGAATAAGAGTGCCATTCTTTAAGCTTCTAAGATTTTATATATACCAATCCCCATTTTACAATATCATTTAAAAAGAAAAAAAATAACATTCGATTTTATTTTGATTAATTAATATTGTTGAAAATTCTCAGCTCTGAGTTATAGAGTGGGACAGGAAAAACTTGTTTTATTGGAAATCGAGTAAAAGACTTAGAAATGCTGCCTCAAATTAGATACCACCGTGAATAAAGGGGAAGGGGGTGAATTTTGTAAAGTAGCCACATCTTTACAGCTATATTGTTAGAGTCTGGGACATTTAAATATTACTGTGATAACACAACTACGGAAGGGAAAACAGCAGTTTGGAGCAGAATTTGATCTTCTGGATTATTTCCGAGTCCAACTCTTGACATAACTAGATGCCTCTAGTTTTTTTTTTTCCATCCATACGAAATTGCTGGGCTAGCTAGTTGCAAGAAGAAAGGTAAGAAACCGATTTCCTTCCGTTAAATGAATGGCAGTAAAGCGTTAAGACAGTCGCACTGATCGAGCGTTTAGGTATTATTTTGGGTCTCCTCCCTCTTCAGTTTTCTCACCCCGCTTTTTTTTTCTCCGCTTTCTCTAACTCGCACCAATGCAATTTTCTTATTTTCTGTAGAAGGGGGCTCTTCCGAACGTTTTCCAGCGCAAGAAGCGCGCTGGGTTCTACTTTTTTTTTTCTTTCTTTCTTTTTGAATTGCTACAATGACTTGCCGAGATGTTCGTGTCGGTTCGGGCAGTTTTCCATCATGGACACAAGCCTCACCGTAGTCAGACCTGGGTGAGATTAAATCCGGGTGTTAAAGATTTGAGCAACGGGAGACTAAAGGCTGAGCTCTATCACCAACAGCTGTAAGCGCCTCTGCTCCCAACTCGCTCACCTCGCTCGCTTTCCCTCGGCAGTTCCCGAGCAAACGGAGCAGCTGGGCGGAATTAAAAAGTCCGGGATGGCCTCGCAAGCAACTTGGGAGCCCCGATTCCAGTAAGCAGACCAACCTTTCTCGGCGCAGCCCAAGGTTTCCCACCGAAGTCCTGCATTTGAAATCAGGAAAAAGAGGACCTGGGAGAGATTCAAATGCACACCAGCCCTAGATTTTTTTTAAAAAATGACTGTGGAAAACAGTCGCGGAGTACTAGGCAGGAGGGGGGCAAGGGGGAAGATTACAGAGCTAATGTTGGTTTAATTGTACAACATATCCAAAATCCAGGCATGCTCAGCCACCGCTTAGTCATGCAGAATATTCTTTACTTTTTTAAAATATATCCAGATTCTCGGCTTATGTTATTGTTGCTTGTATTTTATTTTTATTCTTAGGGGGCTATTATTTTATAGATGAGTACTTATGTAAACAAAGTTATCACCACCCTAAAAATATATTTGGTTACTAACATAAATTTTGAAAACAACTCTCTGATTTTTAAGCTTAGAAACCAGGGAATGTTCCTCTCAAATAAGCATACAAAGAAACATATTTGTCTGTTATCGATTTATCATGCAGATAGATGTTAGTTCTCTGGACACTTTAAATATTACTAGACTATTAGAATAAACATAACAATTAAATAATACCAGAAAATGCAAAGCACCAAGCCGAAATATGAACATTTCTAGAAACTAAAATGCTATAATAAAAGTTAGTCTCCCTCAAACGTGATCTGCCACTAAAAAGAGGCTAATAAATTCCCATTGAGAATGCATTTATGCAGTGATTAGTTGAACTCTGACCTCTGAAGAGTTGTTGCAATTAGCCACAACGTGCAGCACCTTCAAATGTTAGGTTTTTGTGGAATCCCACAGTCCCTTCTTGTAAGCTTCAGAACTCAAATTCGCTGGTGCCTGCATATACATACACAAGTTGTCCTGAACCCCCGGGTCAAGCCAACTTTAAGCACTAAAACATGAAAGGCAAAGTATTTCATTTCCACAGATCCTGGTGGAAATATTAAATGAAAATAAAAATGCACGTTAAGGCAACTTCCTGCTAACATCAACAGGACTTTCTCTATCCAAGAAAATAGTTTGCATGACAGTGTTTATCTTTTAAAATGATGTTGATGTAAATAAACGGTGCATCTTTCTCTTTCATTTTGAAAACTGCAGTATATTTTCTCTATCACTGAACCAAAGCAAGAATAAAAAGGGAGGGGGAAAACAAAGAGAAGAGCAAGAAAGGTATTAAAGATATTTTTGATGGTTTTAAAATAAAGGTACAGTAAAACTGTTATCTTAATGAACAAGAGGTTGGGAAAAAAACTGTGGAGGCACACGTCTGTATCTGTGAATGTATAAATAATTGTTGTCTTTAGCAGTGAGTGAGATAAACCGCTGGGACTCGTTCTAAAGTGACCCATCAGTGAATTCATTTCTGCTTGAACTTTCGGTGAACCTGAGATTAAACAGGGGTGATCAGCTAAGCAGTTTGTTGTTTGCTGCTTTTTCAACAACCCTTTTCAGACTGAGTAAATATTGATTGCTTCCAATCTGATTGCCTAGAAGAAAACATCTTTGTGCAGCGTCTGAAACCAAACTTTAAGGATGAACATCAAAAATAGGCTTCAGGTTTTTATTTTAAGTATCCACCTTACCCAAAAGAAAGTCAAGCCTAATTAATCCCAGCTGGATGAGCAAAGACAATTTTTAAGGAACTACTATTTATTTATTTATTGGCATACCATGGAAAGGGTGGATTATCCCAAATTCTGTCATCAAATGAAGAAGAGAAGTGTTAATCAATTCATGAGTATTGATCGATTAATGGTTGGGACTAATCCATCAATTAACTGTATTACATAAATTCAGTTGTGTGGATTTGTGTAAGCAGCAATAGACATTGAAAGGACCACTGACAAAAATTACACATGTTCTATTTTAGGCAAAAGACACTTCCTACTTAGTCTAAAGGAAACTATTATCTTTATTGTCTAGCGGATCAATTTTCTGACTCTCCACAGTCATACTAATGATTAGTCAATTAAATTCCTGCAAATTTCCTTGGAAGTAACATTTACCTTGCTGAGTGTGTTATTTGTGTGTGCATGTGTATGAGTGTGTGAGTGAGTGAGTGAGAGAGAGAGATGTCAGATATTCAAGTTGACTGATGGACCTTTTGATCAATAATCTCTAGAACAAACTTTGAAGAAATCTGTGCCACCTCTTTGGGAAGGCAATTTTGTTCTTCTGCATTAATCGGCTTTCAGTCAGTTCCATTCTAAGTTATTTATTTCAGAATTATTTATTTTCTGGAAAATTACAGTTCAGAGATTACTCAAAAATAAATGCCTTCAGGTGTACCTGAAGTCTTGAAAGAAGACTCCATATAAGGTGATATTTGTTCCAATAAGTATTCTGGCTATTAAAGTCCTTCTGTGAACTCATCCTTCCCATCCTCACTGAGGCAGGACACAGGAATATCTTTGGAGCTGCTGAAAAGAGTTTTAAATCAACTGATCCCAAGCCCTTGATCTTCTCTTTCTTGTCTCCAGCTACCTCAGGAAAGAAAAGAAGTGGAAAGACTAGAAAGAGTCAGGTGGCCGCAGAATTTTGCTAGCCCCAGCCTTGAAAGGTTTCATTCACCCTCCCTGCTGGCATGTAGATGCCACTTGAAAGCTTTTGGCAAATGCCATTTGTTTAGCTTTGAAGCCTTATCCTAATCAACAAAAGGGGAAAGTATAAGCAGGCAAGGAGTCCAAGAGGAGCTGGGGGGGGGGAGAGAGAGAGAGAGAGAGAGAGAGGAGCCAAAGGTGAAAGGAATTTGGGTCTCTGCCTGCTTTGAAGTTGCCCAGAGTGGTAGAAGGCCTTGAGAAAAAAGGCTCAGCAATCTGGGGTTTTCCCCTTGCCCTGGCATTAGCCCTGAAGTGGCTGCAGATCAAGGCTTGCTTATGCTGATGTTTGGGAGAAAGAAAACCATTGATGCTTGGGCCAGCGAAAATCTTTGGGCTTCCAACCTCTCCTGCTTTATTGCTGGGGCAGAACTAAAAGCCTCTTGAAGAAGCTGCAAGTCTTTTAAAATTAAATTCTAGTAACAACTTTTTCAAACTGAAACCAGCTGCTGTAACATGAAAATGATGTTTGGCATTCTTTCCCCTATGAGAACCCCATATTTATGCTACTAGTGATAGAAATCACAAAGGAAGGAAGGAAATCCCTCCAGTGAATTGGCTCTACAGGTTTTTAATCAAAGGTATGTTTTTTCCAGCAAATACATGACATCTTCCCCGACTAGTTTTCCCAATTGCCAGGGAAATTTTGGACACTCGGGGAAGAGTTGCTATGGAAAATGAGCTCTTCAGCTGGCTATTTCTTGCCTGCTTCCAGCTTGTCTTCCAAGGTTTGTGCCTGGAAGATTGTTCTGGCAATTTAGAAGAAAGGAAGGGGAAAGATAGCTTCTTGGGGTCCTGAGAGACAAGGAAATATAAATCTCTTCCTTGGTGGCTTGGGACGCAAGGCAAGACCAGCTTTGGCTTTTGAAGAGGACTTAGTTTACACATAGGTCAATATGTAGTTCGGGGTGAAAAGGTTAGCACTTGACCCAGGAAGCTTCCACCAAGGTATTTCTAAAAGAGCTGGGATTTGGTTCATTGCCCGTCTTTTCCTTAGTAAAAGATCAGCAAGTTTTCTCTGGGGTCTCCACTAATGTTACTGGATTTAATCTTGGGGGCCTGGAAGCCCAAGGTTGAAAGAATTTGGCTTGCATCAAAAGTGGAAGAGAGGACTGATTGGTTAGGCTTCTCTTCCCAAAAAAGAACCAAAGCAAAGAAGAGCCTGCTATAAGAGTATATTTATTACAGAGATTTCTAGGACCCGTAAAATCCTGCTCTGGATTCCATTCTCTTTCCCTCCCCCAACAGAATCTCAGAACCTTGAATGATTGTACAGAAAATGTCAGAAGCACTCAATCACAAAGGACAACTGATAAAACTCAGTGTTAACTTAGTACACCAAAACTTTGTGCATCATGCAAAGTTCCATACACAAATCACATGAACTATACATTCATTTGGGCCAGTAACCACATTCAGAAGTTCAGCTGAAAAATCTAAGGAAGGATAAATGCGAATTCGGAAGCAGGCCTGGTCTCTCCATTTTCTGCATAATGGTTTTGGGTCAAGAATAATTCCATAGAGATTTTGAGAAAGAAAATGTTGGGCAGACCTTAATAAGCAAGGTTTCTTTTTTAAAAATCTAGTGCAATTTCAACATTCTTATCTAACTATTTTGAAGGAAGAATACTAGTCTATGATATTTTTTTGAGGTATCTGATAGTGTTGAATACATCTTTGATCATGACAACTTCACTTTTTGCTATAAAATCGAATCAAGTTTTGAGAATGTAACCACCCTGTTTTAAATTTATAATCAATCTAAACATTTCTAGAAAATCTGTAAAAAGATAAATCTCTTAAACAAAATATTTACAACCAACAACATACACACGGAAAAAAAAGCAGGTACATTAAATTAAAGCATGAACTTTTTAGAAGTCATGTAAACATTTTCAATAGTGCATCTCTTTTTGGAACTGCGAACCTCTTCGCCTCTGCCATGGAGGAAAGCCTACATAAATGTTCTTTGGCAACTTCATTCTGGTCTATCAACTTTATCATTATGAAAATCACTTTTTGACTTTTCTCACAAATAGTCTAAAGATGGGAGACACATAAATAAATCCTTGTACTTAGCACTGAGGAGGAAAAAGCCTGGTGCTGAATTAAAGACACCCTCAGTCTTGAAATAAGGCTGTGATCCTTTAGCTAAATCTCAGTAATATTATGCCACAAAGTCCCTTTCTATTATTTCTCTCTCCCCTAACTCAGTAGTCCTGTACTATGCCCACCAATCTGGAAGAAGGTTCCAGGTAAAATCAATGAAGTTTGCTTCCAAGTTTCAGTATGGGAAGGCATTTGTTTAAGGGATGGCAGTCGGAGAAGATTTATCTGGAACCAATTTGGCTAGAGAAGGTGGGGGGGGTCCCCTTCAGTCTTTAGAAAAATAGGATTGGGACACTATCAACTACTCTAGGGCTGAACATAGGGGGCCAGGGAGTGAAGAATGAATAGCAACTGTGGAGTTCAATTTGAGGTAGTCAGAGTATCTGAGGTAGAAGAAGTAGGAGAAGGGATACATGGGGATGAGCTGGACTTTTCAGAGGAGTCCTCTGCCTTCTCTTCACTTCCAGTTGGTGTGGCTGGAGAGATGGGCAGCAAGCCCTCTTTCTCCCTCTTCTTCTGCTTCATCCTGCGGTTCTGGAACCAGATCTTGACCTGGGTTTCATTGAGTTGCAAAGAGGCTGCTATCTCCACCCTGCGTGCTCTGGTAAGATATTTGTTGAAGTGGAATTCTTTCTCCAGTTCTGTCAACTGTTTGGTGGTGAAATTGGTGCGAACTGTATTGGGCTGACCCACATAACCATACTCTCCAGCTTTTCCTGGAAAAAAAAAATCAGGCATAAGTCATACAATCACATCTTGCTGCATATAAGCATGGATTTAGGGCCTTAACTGAACGGTGACATTTATCAAGGATGACTGGAGTAGTTGTTAGGTGCAAAAGGTGTTTTCTGGGTCAATTCTGTGTATGTTTATTCCAAAGCAAGGTCTATTTGAATCAGTAGGAACTAACTTCATTATGCTTGGCTTCTGCATATCACCCTGCTAACCTTGCCTGATAAGAGCCATTTAGATAGGTCAGGCAAACCAGGTTGATTCAAAACCAATGAGAGACACATTTCTTTAGCACAATTGTTCACATTTAACAATTTAACAGGGTGTGTGACAGCAGAGTGTAATGTCCATTTTAATAACCTGTTGCCTTCGGGATCCAAGTACCCCTTTCCTTCTGATACTTAGGACAGCCAGGTCAGTCTGCAAATTAGCAGCTTTTCAAAGTACAGAGTGCCTTAACCACCCAGTAAATGAGGACTAACCTGTTTTAGGAGGGTTTCTCTTCACTTTCATCCAGTCGAAAGTCTGGGCTGGTGGAGAAACTTCCGAAGAAGGAGAATTGCAGCTTTCTGGATGGGCAGAATGGAGAGGAGACAAGGGGTGGCTGCTGAAATTAGTGAGGGTTAAATTCTGCTGCTCCTCTCCGAAAGAGGGATGAATGTACTGGGTAGAATTGGTTGTGCCCCCACCATAACTCTGGGGATGCTGGACCATGGAGGAAGAGACATTTCCCGAGTAGAGAGTAGGAGCGCACGGGGAGTAGCCCCCACTGATTTCCGCCTCTTGACTGAGTGGGTAATGGCCATAGCCTCCCGCAGCGAAGTTCTGCGCGCCATAGCCGGACCCGCAGCTGGGGTGCGAGAAGGACACCCCCAAATTGGGGTGATGTTGGTAGGCGGTACCAGCCTGGTGGTGGGGATGGGGGCTTATCTGAACTCCCCGGCCCACCAGAAAGCGGTCATCCCCGTTGCAGCTGTTGGCGCTGACAGCGCACGACTGAAAAGTGGTTGTAATCCCATGTTCGGGGTGGTGATGGTGGCGGTGATAGGCACGGGAGGCGCAAGTGGTGGGCTCGCCGTTGAGGATGGGCGGATAATCGAGGAAGGAATTCATCCTTGCCGTGTCCATCTATCACCGATTGACCGGCTCTTCGAAGTCCTGGGTGACCGTGCCAACTTTCTCACTTCCTCCATGGGGGCCAGAAGAAAAATGATATGAATGTACAGTGAGGCGGTGACCACGTGAGGGCGGCAGCCAATGACTGCTGCGGCTGCCAAAGTTGCCCGGTTCCTTCCTGGTGATGGATCACCCTGGCTGTGGCATTTAAATTCTGAGCGCCCCTTCATCAAGGTGACGCGCAGACACCGCCGCCGCCTCCCTCCCTCCCACTCTCTTCTCAGCCAGCGTGTTGGGCTTGGAGAGCTGGGCCGACGAGCCAGTGTGCGCCCAAGCGCTCAACCTGGAGCAGCAGCCGCGGGAACAACAGCAGTGAGAATAGAAAGCACTGAACGGCCGCCGGAGGGGGCTGCTCCAGCGTGGATTGAAGGACCCAGAGCCTGCAGGTAGGCAAATGCGCTAGCCATCAAATTGGTTGCCGCTTCTCCGGCACCCTCTCCCAGGTGTAGAACAGAGGGGAGAAGACGAATATCTGGACAAGGGGCATCCGGGGGTCCTTCCTCCCTCGCTCGGGACGATCCGAACCTGGGGCGAACCAACAAGAGGTTAATGGATTTTAGTCCAACCTCCCGCGGCTATTTGCATGGAAATAAGGCGCAACGCCATTGTTGTTGCCGCGGACCCAGTCTCTGAATTCCCAAGAAGGGAGGTGGCTATGGGAAGAACGTGACTGAATTGAAGTCAGGGCTCTGGGCTGAGGCTGCGGGTTTCTCCTGATGCTTGACACCATTTGCTGCGGAAAGGAAGCGCTTACAAAGGCTGCCATTGGCAGCGGTCCTCCATTCTGCCCAGCTCAGCAGCTGAAGAGGCAGAGCGCCTGTGCAAACACTCGGCCTCCTCCCTCCCTCTGCCAATCACGCGCGGTCTCGCCTGCCTCTTCCTTCCCTCCTTTTCCCTCCCCATTGGCTACACACCCTGTTTGAAAACACCAGACAGAGCAGGATGTTCTATGAAATACCAACACTGAATTACTATGCCCCGCGGTTAAAAGGAAAGGGACCGAGGAAAAGAGCTGAGAAGCAACAACGGTCAGGGAGTGATTCCCATTTAAGTTGCTGTACATCTTTCGTGGTGGCAGAAGACAAGGGAAAGCAAAACGATGATGGCCTTCTGTTTCCCATCCAACAAGTTACTTCTTGGAAAGGTGCCATTAAAGTCACCGAATTTTCTCTTGAGTTTAGAACTGGGCCGAAGTGCTTAGCTATTTATTAAGTGCTTTGATAGGACTTTTCTTGTTTTGAAGAAAGAAGTTCGCACAGAGACTTAATATTATACAGAAAGGGATAAAATTAAATGATAAAACAAAACAAGCAGGAAAAAGGCCTGGGAACTTTTGCTTCAAAGAGGCCAGCCCAAAACATAAATGTTTATCCATGCCTCTTTTCTAGTTTCTGATATTCTTATGAACAATTTACATTTATTAGCAACTTACCGTGTCAGTTCTAAACAGTTAACTAGTTAGTATCATTTCACTCACATACCAAATTCCGTCCTAGACATTATCTAATTAGACTGCAATTTTCTTTCCTAAAAAGCTACGGTGCTATGTTAACTCTTCTGGTAATTTAATGTTCCCATTTTGATAATTATGAAAGTTAGGACCCAGTTCAAATGTGAAGCCTATGCTAAAATCTAGCTATGAGACATATAAAGACACACTTAATGTTTTTAGAACAAGGTCTCTGGCATTTTCTAATCTAGACAGAGCTAAATTCTGGTATGCAACTACAGCTACTTAAAAAAAAAAACCCTCCCCTTTGATTGGACGTTTATTGTCTACAGAGTTTACACTCAGACCTCTTTCTTTTAGGAACAGAAGAATAAAGAATCACTTTGCCACTTTAGAGTTTAGCAAACCATTTTCATAATTTGCAATAACACTCACAGATCAATTATCAAGACTTGGAAGCATATGCAGTGGGTAATAATAGAACTACTAACCAGATCAGTGAAGTTAGCACATTGTTGTTTGCATTGTAGCTAAAAGGAAAGAATGTAGGTATACGCAGATTTTATCTTCCCCCTCCCCGCCCCGCTAGAAAAACACAACCTCTGTTAGTGACTTTGAAAATAAAAATAGCCTGTTTTCTGTTTTCCCAAATAACTGTTGGAACAATTTTATTCTTGGCCCGATTTCTCTCTCTCTCTCTCCCCTCCCCCTCTTTCTCCTGCTTGCTGCTTTCTTCAATCCTCTCCCCTCTATTTCTCCTCCATTGTTCCAAAGAGCTTTCCCTCTTTGTCAGACTGCCTTTGCCCGAGAGCTGTGCATTCTGAGGCCAACACAACCGCCTCCCCCCCCCCCGCGCCCGCTTGCTAGAGTGCAGAAGGGGGCGAGTTTGGAAGGGATGAAAAAGAGAAAGGAAACTGCTTGTTCCTTGCTGGGATGCAGCTACCAAGGTTTCCAACTTGACTCTCGAACACACGACTTCGCTTCAAACTTTCACCTCTCAGACTTTTCCAAGACCAGATCCTTTTTCTTCCTCCGTCCCCCGCCCCACCGCTTTGTCCCTACGATCCCCCTTTTTGCGAGGCTGTTTTCCGTATTCCGAACAAGCAAAACCGTTTGTTGCGTTTATCGGTTAGTTAAGACACTCAAGAATTTCCCCGAAAACCTTTACATTCCGGATTCATTGTTAGGATTTCTTTCCCCCCTCTCTCCCCCTCTTTTTTTGTGTGAGAAGTATATGTCTCAGCATAGTTCTGGTCTCAAGGGAAAATCTGCTTAGGATCTGGAGGCGATTGATTTGTGTGGAAAGCTTCTTTGTCAGTAGAATAGGAGGCTCCCCACACTAACCTGCTGGTTCGCCTATAAAGTAAAACGCCTATAAACTAAAACAAAAACATGCTTCTTCAAAGAAAACGTTCTTCGCGGAAAGAGCAGCCTTCGATCGTCGTGCAAAGCAAAGAAGGGAGGGGGGGAAGGGAAAAGAAAGGGGGAATCCCTGCTGCACCTGAAGCTTAGCCAAGCAGTTGTTTTAACAGAGCAATAAAAAATGAATTATGACTAGCCGCTTCCAAGCTTAATGGTTTTAGACGGGGATCCCCTACCCCAGCAAATACGTAAGAGGATTTTTATTTGTGCATGTGTTCCTGCAATTGATCTCTTTGATGACATTCTCATTCACAAAAAGCGTTTGATTTATGAGTTTAGGAAGAATTGCATCCAGCCCTTCCAGCTATTACCCACGCGGTTCTGCGCCACCCCACATAAATGTGTTGCAAAACAGGGAAGCAATCTGCCATCAAAATAAATTCAGCCGGAGCAGAAGGACTGGCAAATGCGAACCTGTAAAGCCTGAATCATTTTTTCCCCCTCTCCATATGTCTGTGTACCTACATAAACACACATACATACACGTTCTTCTTACCAAGAGAAAGGAAGGAAGGGATAGGTTCATACATACACACGCACACGTGCACACACACATGCACACATGAAAAAAACAAACCTCATCTGTTAACACAGGCTGCTACCTTGTAGGACACAAAAGAACGCATATCAACCTGTATGAATGAATTCAATTAAACTGTACTAGAGGACGGACACACACACACACACAGAGACACACACACACACACACACTACTACCACCACCACTACCTTCAATTAACATCACTTTTAGATAGGTCTCTTCAATTTTTATGTGCTTTGGCGGGATAGCTAAAAGGTCTTCTGAAATGTACACTTGTTAACCTAGTTCATACTGAGTTTTGGTGAGAATGCCCTTTTCTCTACCTTCAGCGTGAGCTTTTGTCCTTTAAACCCATTTTTAATCCATAATTTATATGCCTTGCACAGTTAATAACTAGCTTTTACCAAACGGCTTGTCTGATTTCCTCTCTCTTGTAGATTTCTTTTCTTGGGACCTTTGGAACTCTGGGACGGAAATCCATCAGAAGTGTACCTTTCTTGGTTCCCCACACCAACATTTCTTTCCAATGGTTGGCAGAAAGAATAAACACAGTGACTAATATAAATATACATTTTTATCTGTCTGCATAACTGCAGCAATCCTCCTAAGGAGCACTTTTTTTTCTTTTGCGGAATATTCTCTTTCATATATGTGCGAGAGAGACAAACTCAGTGTTTTTAATAGCTTTTAATATCACTAAAGCAGTATTTTTGTGTATTTTTAATTCTAATATATGGTATGTATTAAATGGAGGAAATGCTTGTTTTTAATAAGGGTCAAAGATATTCTAAGTTATGGGAAAAATTGTAACACTGCATTTTGGGGGGAGAAAGGGAAGTAGAGGATTTCAGTAGCTTTCTTCCAATAAATGTTTTTCTCAAGAAAAAAAGAACAGAGGTCTGTAACCAAATTTCTTGGCTTTATTTCAGACCAAAGGAGGGAAGGGGGGCAACTCCTTGTGCTATATATGAAGAGAGAGAAAGAGAGATAAAAAAGGTGCTTGTAGTAAACAAGAATTTATTCTACCAAAAATACTTATGACAATGCACCCTAATGTAATACAAAAATAAAAAGAAAGTGAAGATACAAATTTGATATGATCACTTTCTTACAGGCCATATATATTGCTTTCATAGAAGGACCTAGAATGTGGCTAAATGCCATAGGGAAACGGCAAAGTACTGTAATTCCCCCAGATAGGATAACCGAAAATGCTAACAGACAAAGAGAAAGAAATCAGATCAAAGAGGGAAGGGAAATAAAAATTAAGGAGAGAGAGGAAAAAAAGAAGAAAAAAAAAGAAGGTATAACCCATGGCGCATGAGGAAGACCTGTGCTTTCTCAGTAATTCAGGTGCTGCAAGTCAATTGTGGTGAGCGTATCTGAAAAAAAGTCAAAGCTGTCGGCTGAAATATCTACAGGACTGTCGAGAGATCCTGGCAAACTGGGGGAGACAGCAGCGTCAGAAAGCTGTAGGCAGGAATCTGCAGAGAAAACGCTGAAGTCCTGCAAAGAAGGGACTTCCAGGGCCTCCGGACTGCCATTGTTCAGGGCAGCTGCACAGTTCTGGCCCATTGTTGAGAGGCAGTTGGGAACAGTGGGTGACTGGTGCTGAAAATGTTTGAGATTTTTCTCATGGCTGGTTAAAGGCGAAACTGGAAAAGTTTGGGACTCTCCATTGTGGAGGCTTGGAGGCGGCTGAGGCAGGGCATTCTGTTGAAAAGGGTAGCTTTCCCTGTCCAAAAGAGCGCCGGAGACATCGACATCGTTGAGGGCTTGCTCAAAAAGAGATTTTTCTTCCTCCTCCTCCTCTTCCTCCTCTTCCTCCTCTTCTTCGGCTTTTTCGGGGTCCTCCAAGCCTTTGCATTTCCCTTCGCTGTTCTGGTTCTCCTTGCATTGGGTCTGCCTCTTGTGCTTCATCCGCCTGTTTTGAAACCAGACTTTGACTTGCCTCTCCGTCAGATCTAGGAGAGCTGCGATCTCCACCCTCCTTGGTCTGCAGAGGTACTTGTTGAAATGAAATTCCTTCTCCAGCTCCAAAAGCTGAGTGTTGGTATACGCAGTTCTTAGTCTCCTGGAGCCCCCATTACCATTTTCGGAGATCTCCAGAGATTCTGTTGAGGAAGAAAACAACCACGGTTAGAAAGATGCCTGCCATGGGGGGGGGGGGCGGCGGCGGTGAAAGGTGGAGAATTTGCCCCAGCTGGTCCTTTTGAGAACCCTCCAGTCTGGAAAAAACAGTGTGGTACTGGTGATTGGAAATCTCTGCCTTTCACTCCCCTTCTCTCCAGAGCGTAAAAACATCTCAACTGCAACAAAATGGCCGCCCCGCGAATGCAGCAAAGCCATTGTGTTGCCCCCTTGCGCGCCCGCTCTCCGGGACCCCTTTTTCCCTCAGCTCAAGAAACTGCTTCGTCTCCATCTCCCAAACCGTCCCCTAGCCGAACAAACTTTGATATTAGTCATACCACAAATTATAATTAATGCATCAGCTGCTTAGTGAGCAAGAGTAATCTATCACTCTTCATTACTGTCAAGGATCCCAACTCTAGGACAGCTAGACAAGAGGAGGTCACCTCCAACTCAAATAAATCATCCCACGCTAAACAAGTTAGGGGGAAAGAAACTTTGCTTGGGGTGGGGGCGAAAGAGGGTTGGTGCCTGGTGCTTTTGCCTGTGGATCCCACCATCAGCTTCCTTCCTCAGGGTTCAGTGCCTGAGTTAGGAAGGCAACGCTCCAACAGAGAGGCGAAGGCAGTGGGGAGGGTGGGGGAGAACAAACAAATCGTGGGGAAGCCTTGGGAAGCGGAATGGTGCAGCAAAGTCTTTCAACTGACCTTTGTGGCTCAGGCAAGCTGGTCCAAGGGCGGAGGCCGAAGCAGGCGGCGGCAGGGCGGTTTTCTTGGACGCCTTTTTCTCTTTCATCCAGGGGTACTCCGGAGGCTGGAGGGCGCCGGCTGGCACTGGGCTGCCGCTGTTGCCATTGGGGCTGTGCTTGGGGCGGCTGCCGCTGCTGTGGCGAGGGTGGCTGCCCGGTTTCAGGCTGGGGATGGTCTGCTCAAAAGGAGGAGGAATCAGTGTCGAGTGTGAAAGCGTCGAGTTCTTGATTGATGAACTTTGAAATGTATCACCGACAGGGGGAAAAGATGTCAGGCACTCAGCGAGCGATGGCTGACTATTGATAAAGCCAATCTCTCGCTCAAATTCGAAATTCATGGCCTTCAACTCGCAGCCCCCTTGGAGAAAAAGTTCCCTCTTATTTAGCGCTTCTGGGAGGGGGAGGGGGGAGCAAGGCCCAGGAAGGGGAAGGGGGGGGGACCGAGAGAGAAAGAGAGAAAGAAAAAGGGGGAGACAGAAAGAAGGGAGAAAAAAAAATCATAGAAGATCGCTCGTGGGGTGTTTTTTTTCTAATTCACTGATTACAGCCGTATGGGGACCGTGCTACTATTAAACTATTGAATTCATGGAGACAAGGTTGAAATTGGACCGAATTGGCTGTCACATGATTGCCTCTGCCCAATGACAATTTGGGCTTTAATCAAAAGAAGCCACTGTCTGTTTGATTGATCCAAAAAAGTCGAGAAGGAACGCCTCATTGGGGCCGGAGAGGCATTATTTACACTTTTTTTTTTTTAGGAGGAGGCTTATCTCCGCTGCTCGCCCGCTCCCCTTTTGCCTCCTAATCTGAAATGGTATCTGGGGTGAGTGGCTGTGCTTGTGTGAGAGAGACTAGAGTGTTTGTGTGCCTGCGTCTCTTGCAGTCGCCGCTTGGCCGTTCGTTCCTACAGCCGCCGCCTTCGCCGCGGCTCCTTGCAGCCACCGCGGCTCTGCTCACCCTGTAGAGCTTCTGCCCCGCTTGTTCCCGTCCTGCGCCCTCCCCTCCCATTGTTTGGAACTGTCAGGCAAGCGCTTCGCACCTCACAAATCATTTAAGCACCTCCAATCTGACGCCTTGAGTCATTAACAAAGTAATCCATTAATCTTCAAAGTTTTGACATTGCAGGCTCCGCATCTCAACCGCATCAGAAAGTTGCACCCGGCCTGGGTTGCCAAGCGTTGAGCCCTGCTTTAGATTTGCATTTTATTTGTGTTTCTTCCCTTCACCACCAGTCCTAAAGAAAGAAATAATTACTTCCTAAAATTAAAACAAGCACCAGAACAAGGTGGAGGTTTCCCACCCTTCCCCAAGACTTGGCACCTTTCTGCATTTCTCCGGGGGGGGGCGGGGGGTGTTCCACTTTTCTGAACGGTTACAGTACAGGGAACAATTGGCTGCCGCGATCTTGGTATGTATCCATTGTGTAGAAAGAATTTTCTACAGGAACTTCGCTTCCATAGGCAGAAGTCAGTCCAGGGTGTCATGTATATATTTGAGTTGGCTGAACAGAAATGGATGGTCCAAACCAGATGCATTTCCATCAGACACCCAAATCACAGAAATCACAAAAATGCTGTCGATTATAAGAACAAACCAGAGTATTAACACAAACGACAATGGAATCAGCTGACTCTGACTCACTGTTTTCCCTTAACCACAATAAAAATGGATCAGGTAAGTAAGCAGTCTTGATGGTGAAGAAATACGTCAAAATTCAATATCGGTTTGAAAAATTATTATCAATCATGTAGGAAAGAACTATAAAACGGATTCCCTTTCCAAATAAGATTGTTTGACCGACACCCTTTTTTGTTTGCTTTTCTTTCGATTTGCTCATTCCACAACGCTAAAGACTTGGACAGAACGGTTCTTCAATTCCTTCAAATAAAACGGGAAATGAAAGGAAGGGGGGAGGAAACAATGGAAGGGCAGGGGGATTCAGTAACAAGGAACAGAAAAGGGTATTTCCTCTCCTCCAAATCAAAATAAGCCAGTGCTGAGAAGAGAAGAAGGTAAGGTCGTGTGGCATTCCTATATATTTCAAGGACACTCCATATGTCCCCCACTTCGAGATTCTGAATTAGTCCTGGAAATTGTCACAAGGGTTTAAATGATAAACTGGTTGTTCCATTTCTGATGAAGCACAAGCACATCTGAGCAAAAGGGAAAGGAACAGCAGGCCTCTTTCATTTTTTTGAGTGACTCACTGCCTCCAATATGGAAGGAAAGCTGGTGAGGAGGAGGGGTGAAATATTGTAATAATCTTAACATAAAATTCAAATGGAAATTGTTATTTAAGAAGAGAAGAGGAGGAAAGAGGGTGCCTTACAAATATATATGTTGTTGGAGGGTTTTTTTTTTTTTAATTTTCTTGCTTTACTTCAAACAAAGCTCTGCTGAAATCTAGGCATGATCAATCTTCTCAGCCAAAATGCCTTGACAGCTTCTGGCCCTTAAGAACACATTTCGAGCTTCATGCTCTTTCCTAGATGAAATGTAGCTGAGCAAAAAAGAAGAAAGGTTGTTTGGGGGAGGAAGAAACTCTAGTAAATAAGCCAAAGGGATGATGATGGTGGTGGTAGTGGTGCTTATTTTCCCAAACGGATCCCACCTCGCTCTGTCCTCTCAGTGAAGGATAGAAACTTCAGCTTTTTAACTTGACTGGAAGACAGCCACAGGCCTAAGGATTTTATTTCATTATTTATTTATGGAATATTGATGATAACAGCAAGGCGTTGCTGGTGTGTGTGTGTGGGTGTGTGTGTGTGCATGCGCGCGCTTGTGTGCGCCCCGGCTTCTGTATGTTATATCTAAAAGAACCCCACAAGGAGGTAAGACGAGCAAGGGAGGCGGCTGGGGCAATTCGGTTCACTGAGGCTTTGTGAGTTAAATTGGTGTGGGAAGAATATTTGGAAGATTTTTTTTTTTTTTTAATGTAGGCTGGATTGTGGGTTTTTCTTCTTCCCGTGGACAATCTAATAGACAAACCACCTGGAACAAAGCTTTTCTTCTTAGTTGTTTTTTTTTAAGTAGCCTTTTTTTTTCTTTTCTTATTTCTGTAAGAACTTGCATTTTCTTGCAGATAAAATATATGCAGGATGAAGGGGTAAATAAATGTCTTTGAAATCAGACTGGAGCACGGGGTGGGTGGGGTGGGGGTGGGGGAGTCCATTTCCTTTGTCTTATATATCTTTTAAGGGTCAGTTTTTGTCCTCATACCTGTCAGTTTTCTCCCTCTTTTTCTTTTGCTTTCACCTCTTGAAGCCATTAATTTATATAATACATTTTTCTTTAATTAATTTCAAAGGGGGGGGGAGAAATAACACCCACAATCCCCTTCTATTTCATTTTTTTTCAAAAGATAGAAGTTTCAAAGTGATTCCTCCGCTCCATATTTCTCTTTTAAATAGTTTTGCTTTTTCAATAGAGTTGGTGTTTTTACTATTCAGTCTGGAGCTAAGCAGCTGTAAGTATAGAGGAAAATGGTTAAGTGAAGATAAAATGCTGTAAGTACGAAATGCAAAATTAGAATGTGGAATTTAGTATATTGCACAATCACTGGCCATTGGGAGCTTTTCAGATATGGAGGGGAGGAAAGAAGAAAAATACCAGAGAGATTTTTTTTTTTAGTGAAAATATGAAGACTGATAATATTTTAGGAAGGGAAACCAATATGGTGGAAAATGTATTGAGATTAAACAAAACAGACAGATCATATAGTGACATATTCTACCTTTTTATTCATAATAAGACAAACCTGCATACTGAATCTTCCTAAACAAATTCAGGACAGCCGATAAACCTCATGTCTTCAAAATTCTGTTTAGAAATAAGGGAGGAGGGGGTCCCCTCTATGGATTCTCCAAGTTTTTTTTTTTTTTTTAGCACAGATGTATTTGAGGGACAGAAAGGATCTTTTAGGCTACATCAAAGGCTTGTTTAGAAATTGTGTGTATTTATGAGTGGGAGGGGTTCTATACATGCACCTATATTATATAAATGATTTTTTTTCTACACTCCCCCCCCGCCCACCGTTCAAGAAAGAATGAGAAAGATTGGGATGTGAAAGGAAATTAGATTAACAAGATGTAAGGAATGGTAATAATTCCACAATTCCTGTAGCCAGAGAGGAGAAGCAGCCTATTTGGTGGGAGAAACTATAAGGAATAGTTCTTTCAAAACTGCCCACGTCGCCTCGGGAACAGATTTATTGTTGCCGAATCCGTTTCTTCATTACTGGGATGATAAATTGTATCTGCCTGTAAACAAATGTGCTTTGAATCCCTGCCATAGCAAATATGAGCCCACGCGCTCGTTTTAAATCCACGGACTCTTATTCAGTTTCGTTCTCTTTAGGTAGGAAAACAACAAGGCTTGCCCGTCACTGTTTCTCGATTGTCCATTTTGTCCCGTGGGGCGAAGTGTGGGGGCAAAAAACTCCGATCGTTTCAGAGGGCCCCCCTCGCGCGGAGGCGAGAAAGAACGGAGAGCTTCCCAGCAAAAAGAGCCAACGGGAGAGAGAACAGCCTGCAGCCAGGCCGCCTGAGGCCTCCAGAGAAAAGTTACAGCACCTGAGCTTCTTCGTTCGAGGAAGAAGCTCCTCCAGAAGAGGCAGCCTTTGTTTCTTCCCTAGCTCGCTGCTCTCGGACCCGGGTCCGCCACTCTGAAGAGGGGTACAGCCGCGGACAAGACGAGAGATTGAGGCCACGTAGCCCCCCCCCAAAAAAAAAAATCTGCAAAGAGAGATGCTGACAATCAGCCGCGGCCACAGACAGAGATCTTATTCCAGCTTGGAGCAGTTTAGCGCCCTGAGTGTGCGGCTTTCCTTTGGGGAGGTCGCTAGGCAAGAGCCGGCTCATGAAAATTACGCGCTGAATCTGCCTCTGCGTCTGCAGTCAAACGCGAACGACAGGGACGCTTGTTCAACCAGCCTTGGAGGTGCTGGAAGAGGCTTCGTTCGGTTTTAAGGCAACAGACGAGCGCTCGTACCTTCTGGAAATGCTTAAAATTTTGGCAGCTTTAAAAGTCCAGCCAGAAGAAAGAGAGAGGGAAATTTAAAAGGTTGGCTGTGCATTTTAAAACTCAGGGACCTCAATCGTTCCCTGAGTTCTTTTCCTCGTTCCTTTTTTCCTTGGATTCGGAGTGGGGGATGGCCATCAAATGTTCTATCATAAATGTCTATTATTCAGAACAAAATCTTTAATTTAGTAAGTTAGTTTTAAGAATGTGAGTGTATCCTTTTGAAAACAAATCAATGATCCTTTGTTGTCAAATCCCAGTTTACCCATTTTCTACCTAGATTATCTATAGACATTCATTACTTTCCTACCCTGATGTGTTGTTTTCCAGATTTTATTGTATTATTTCTTTTTATAAATAAATAAAAGAATTCTGGTTCGTTTTACAAATGATATTCTCCTTATATTCCATTGATACAGCCAGTCAATATTTCCTGAATTCTCAGGGTAAAGAAGTTTATTTTTTTAATATCTTCATATATATAAATATGAACAGATGGGGATAAATAAAAAATTTAAACACTTAGATTATTCAAAAAAATATAAATAAATCTGAAAGTTCACCAGCATACACACGTTGAAAGACGTACACGTATTAATCATTTTGCTCAGGAGTCCCTGTTCAAGCGCCTTTTTTTCTTATCTAAAAGAAGTGCAATTAAAATAAAAAATGTTTCCCAGATGGGACTGATTCTGTATGAACAAATTCACATTTAAGAACTGTCTGTATAGAAAATTTGTTCATAATACCCTGTTTTGATAAAAGAGTCAAAGTTAAGAGTATAAAGCCTATGTATACTCTCAAAGTGAGATCACAAGGCAAGAGTTCAAGAAGATAAATATCCACTATTGAAACTAGAGAGCAATTCAAGCAACAAATATTGCTACGTCACATAAACTGGAAACCGCATTTTACTAAAAAGGAAAACACAGAACAAAACCCATAAGCAAATAAAACTGTATTGGGTAGCGGAGGGCAGGGGGGAGAGAGAGAGATTTAAAACTTGGGGCTTTTACCCCCCATTTCTTAAAAATAAAACTTGGGAAGCTTTCAAGATTCACTATATAACCAATGGTATATTACAGATGGGTCAGTTTGGGTGCTTCCTGAATTCTTCCCTGAGAAGGATGGTGAGAAGCAAGATCTGTGTATGTTGGGTGGGGATCACAAGGTCCATGATGATGATTGTTGCCCATTGCCCCACTATAGTCCATATTAGCAGAGGATGGATGAGGGAGATGAGTTAGACCAAATATAGATGGTCCCGAATTTCCCATGGTATCCACATAGTTGCCCCCAACATAGACGGGACTTCCCTGTATATGTGGATTGCCATAACCATTGCCTTGAAGATGGTGAGGGTCGTATTCAGGTGTCACTGCTGCAGTTCCGGTGTATCTCTTTTGAGGAGGCGGGCAGCTATTGATAGGAGCTGGATATGATGTAGGGATGCTGTAAGAAGAATTCGGATGAGTCTTGTTGAAAGATGATGGTGACTGAGGCTCATATGGAACACTGTTGACCAGGGAATGCATAGAATTCAGGTAACCTCCAGCAGTTGAAGGGACAGGACTTCTGCTGGGGGACTGTCCTCCAGAGGAGGTCATCATGCCTTTGCCCTTCTGATCCTTTTTGTATTTCATCCTGCGATTCTGAAACCATATTTTGATCTGTCTTTCAGTGAGATTTAGGAGGTTAGCCATCTCTACCCTTCGTGGCCTGCAAAGGTATCTATTGAAGTGGAACTCCTTTTCCAGTTCTACCAGCTGGGCACTGGTGTAAGCTGTGCGGGCTCTTTTAGAAGAAGCTTGCCCTGGGGGGCTTTTATCACCAGCACAACTCTCACCTATACAAATCATACAAAGAACAAGATAAGTAGGATGATACCTAGCATACTATGACCAGAAATAATAATAAACTACTACTTGCTAAATTTGCAAGTACACCCAGAGATCTAATGTTAGAATGGCTCACTAATAGTAAATGTGTATATAAATAGAAGGAAGACTGATCAAAGGCCATTTGCTGCCTGAGCCAAAGTACGAGTGTTCTTCCATTCAACCATCCTGCCTGGAATCAATCATGATGAATGGTCAGTGTCTCCCTCATACTGAGGCTAGCAAGCTATCCTAAGAAGAGCAATGATTACGGATCTGTCCAAACGTAGGACCCTCCAAGTATATTTGACTTCTAATTCCTTATCCCCAGAATAGCTATATAGAGTGAGGGTTAAAAGAATTGAAAACCACCAGGCTAAATAATAACCTGGTCTTTTCCATCCCATTTTAATTCTCTGATCTGGTAACAATTGCCTGAGGCAACCATTTCTAGAAAAGGAGCCATACAGTCTTCAAAAACTACTAGAAATAACAGCTCCTCAGAAATGCAATTTTTACAAGAAAGATAAATAAGGGAACTAATGACATAGATGGTCAGATTATTCTTCACAGAAATACCTCCTTACTTGTGTTGGATTAATCTCAATAACATGAATACCTTATATCAGTAAAATCAAAATATAACCCTGATAGCAAACATCCATTCTCCCTCCATTTCCTTTCTCAGGGTAACCTCGGGCACTCACCTGCGGTAAAATATTACTTGGCTTAAAGCCAGTTTCAGCCCATTGAAAAGAATAGAGTGAAATAAGGCCATACAAGGCCAAATCTGTGACTGAGTTTAAAGGAATATACTGCATGATGCCCACAAGAGGCTTTGTACTGCAAAATCCATCAGGCTCAATTCACTTAAGTAATTTAGCGATATTATATGGGAAATGTAGTCCAAACCAAATGGAGGACACTTCCTTCCCTACTCTTAAAGTGTAAAAGTAACCTTTATAACAATTTTGAAATACAGGTAAAGGTAAACTGTTATCATTTATTTACTTAATTGCCCTGTGTCTACAAGGAGAGAGAATACTGAGATGTTTTCTGTATTTTTCATCACCTGAGGGAAGAAACCACTGCTGAAGCTACCCGGTACTTTCAACTCTGATTATCAGAGGGGAATTTTGGAAGTATATAAGTTGTTCTTACAAGTTTTATATGCTTAAGCTTAATTTATGTATCTAAGCTTCTGGCTACTGAACAATGATGAGCTAAGGCTGCAGCTTAAAGCATATCTACCTAAAAGGCTTTCTAGCTTTATTTCCAAATATAAGCATTTAGCATCTACTCTTAGTATGCCGATTGACTAGATATACGGATTCTGGTTTTGTAAGTTAATATATAGAGAGAAAAATATAGAGCATGGAACACTGAATACCTTAAATAATAAAGCCTGCTTATGTTGGTTTTACTCTATGATAGCATTAGAAATGCACTGAAGAAAACATTTGCAAAAATGTTTAGGATCTACTTTCTCAGTCCAAGATAAATTGCGGAAGTTAATGATAAGTAGAAGCTAAATGCCTGGGGAAAAGGACGCTAATACTTTTCTCATCGATTTGGGTTTACTTATGTAATAACACTGTAGATAAACACTGTAATCCACCCATAATGTATTTATGGACCTGCTTGCAGAGTGCTAAAGAAACCTAAGCTTTGTTCCCACTCCTATAAGGCTGCCAGTCTGTGAGCTAAAATCAAAGGAGGTTATGAATATCAAACAAAGCATTGATCTTGACTGAAGATCATGATGAGCTATTTTATTCTCATTACGCTTCAGCAGCAGGAATAGGTCGCTGGCTTATTGCTGGAATAGAATCAAGCCAAAAAAAAAAAAAAGTGCTAACACTGGTGGAAGACAGGCCAGGGGCTTGTACATATCTGGCTCTCGTTTAATAGCTGCCAAGGGGGGAGGGAGAGGCTGCAGTATGGAATGTTGAAGATTCTAACAGGCATCCAAGCTTGAAAAGAGAGAAGCAAAGGAACTTCACATTCTTTTTTCAGAGTTGAACAGAGGTCACCATCAAGCAAACTGAAGCCTCTCTCATCACCCGACTCTCTGGAGATGGGCTTGTATGTGTATGCACAAATGAAATAAAATAATGCTTGTGATCTCAAGAGATTGCACAGGTTCAATTTCCCAGTAAAAATAGTGGGAAAGTTTCATGTCTTTCCTGAAACCACGAAATACTTGGCAGGCAGGGCTCCCAAGAAGTTTAGCAGAACTTTGACGGGTGGTGGATCAGCTGCTTGTGCTAGTAAGGACTGAACCCTCCTGCTTTCTCCAGTTAACCCTCCCCTATTCCATTACCTGAACTGGAGCTGCTGTTTTTCTGCTTGGTGTTTTGCCGAGATTCTTTCATCCAGGGAAATATTTGTTTGGACATGGTAGGTGAGTTCAGGATGGAGCTCTTTGTGGCATTGGCAGGGGTGGTGTTGGCAGTGGCATTTTGAGGTGGCGACACGGAGGGGGGAGGAGGAGGAGGGGGCAGTGATGGTGCCTGCTGGGTCGGAGGCTGTTGCTGGGGCTGTTCTGGTAGGACTGGGGGCTGGAGAGATTGGCTGGGGATGGTCCTCATACAACTCTCACTGATTTCATTGGCCTTGTGATGGGACACAGTGCTGTTGGTGCCGGCAGCGGGGGACTGCAAAGAACATGCAGGTCGATGGTACTCAGTTTCCACCAGCGCTGAAGCAGAAGGCAGAGGATATTGCTGCTGACTAGCATTGTAAGCGAAACCATTTGCTCCTTGGTAGGGATAGCCTCCATAGATCGCAGAGCTGTCGTAGTAGGTCGTCGCTTTTTGCATTTCGTTGTTTCCCAATATTTATTTCATAAACTGACAGGGTCTTGACACCCTTAAAGAATAACATTGGCACCACTCTGTCACATGACGTTTCTCCTCCAATGGCCTCTCCTGGTAGACCTAGGGTGTAGGGAAAGCACAGGAGAGTGGAGAAATAGTACAAATCCATCTTACTTTCAATAGCTAAGTGACATGAAAGCCATAACAGAAAAAGTGGTCAGCAATATTTAGCAGCATGACTTGGCCTGAAGGCGAAGAGAAATTCGGTAAGAGGAGGGGGGGGAGAAATAGAAAGAGATATGTAGAGATTTACTGGCAGCCCAGATTGTGTGGTTTACAGATCCAAGAGAAAGTAGATTTGGGTGATATCTAATCACGCACACACTCACATCCACATGCAGGCTAAGAATTGTTTTATCTTTTCTCCCATAAAAAGGGCTCTGATCGATCCCTGCAATAAATGGCCTCCAGATAAGAAAGAGGTTGGAAGCAGATTGTTTTCCATAACTGATTTAAGACTATGAAGGATTTCAAAGCACCACTTACGCTTTCCTTTTGCTTTCCTTTTGAGAAATATCACATTGTTTCCCTTATTTATTGAAAGAAAAAGAAAATCTTGCTGTACTTTACTTAAAGGGTTGGATACAATGCCTTTTAAAGAAAAATCAATACATGCATCTTCCAGGCTCACCACGAAGAGTGACTCAACAGTCAACAGTCCCACGCTGGAGGAGTTCGAACTCACGAAATGTTGGCTAGGAAACCAAAAGATTTGATAAATGGAACCCATAATGACCCTTCGTGTGTTGAAACTGCACAGTGGCTGGGGATATCCCGAGCTTTCTCTGTTTAATAATCAGCCAACTTCCTGTGCATAAATTAGCTTTAACTGCTGCCAGTTTAGACAGGGACACAAATCTGGCCGCTCTCATCCAATAGTCTCCACATGTAGCAAAAGGGTAACAGTCAGAAATTATCTTCCAGTTAGTGCTCCTTTGTGGGAAGTTTCAGGCCTGTCCCTTTGGTTGCTTCTGTCCTTGCAGGATCCCGTCCTAATTGTTTGAGGGTGTATCAAATCTGACATTATTACTATTATGGTTGGTTGCGCAGTCAGTCAGATGTTTTCAGTTATTATTTTCCCCTTTCCCTCTTTCATGAATATATTCACAAATGTCTGGAAAAAGGCACAGCCGCTAGTGCCCATCTCCATGACCACAGCTTGAACCTTCCTCCTAACTCAACCATAATAGGTTCTGTCCCTGAGACTGCAGTGTCATTTGATGTATGGAGGTCATTTGGATGCAGGCAGAGGAATGGGTGCACAAAACCACAAACACTCTTACAAACCAGCCAAATATTTTTTGTTCACTCAACAATGTTTACCTGTCTGAGCAGAATCAGCTAGAGAAGGGGTTGCATGGGATTTCGGAGGACTCCTTATCTGCAATCCAATGAACTTTTTATAGACCATCAGAACCACCAGTTAAAAACATATCACTTCCACACCTTCTCTCCAAAGTCCTCATATTCACATAAACATTCCCAACTCAGGTTCCAGTCAAAACAGTGGGATGCCAGGGTATCTTGCTGGAGGGAAACATTTCACACTATCACTTCACAAGCATACTCAGATTAATTGCAGGAGTTTGCATTTCAGTTGACTCAAGTTTCTTTCAGAACAAGGCACACAGGAGAGAACAATTGATTTAATAAACCCTTTGCAGATGGCAGCTTCCTTCCATAGAGGGTAAAGCTATCTTCTTTTATTGTTTGCTGGGTTTTAAAAACAAGTCAAGTCTTTCAAAAGTTATAATAAACAACCTGTACTGAAAAATATAGAAGCCGAATTTCAGCTGCAGTTTAGGTTGGTAGGAACTGACTTTATCTGATTTGGGAGTAAATTTACTTTAAACTCCAGAACTTTACTTTGAATTTGACTGAAGGGCCTAATGTATCTTCTTAATTTCAGACTTTTAACACTTTTTCCTTTTTGTTGAGGGGTGGAGGTGGAAATGTTAATTCACTTTTTGAATTAAGAAATGTGAAACAATAAGATGCTTGCTGCTTCCTTTCTGCCCTTTGCAGAAAGAACTCTTATAAGAGTTCCCCCAAAGTCTCTTTTGCTTGTAAGCAGGGAAAACAATGAGCAAAAGAGACTTTGGGGTGAGACAGTCAGGCAGCCCCTTTCCTGCTTGTCGATAGTCAATGCAAACAAAAAGCAGTTAACAACAATGCCTGCAACAGAGGAAATAGCTCCTGTTTAAAGTTAGAAAAAAAAACACAATATCACACTTTACAATTAGTTGTTTTTCTAAAGATAAATGCTTATTTCAAGAGAATGCAAATGTAAGGAAACACAAAAAAGCAGCCAGTGAGGGAGAAGCACTAGTATTCCATCATCAAAAAGTCTGTCTGCAAATCCAATGACTTCAAAGTATGACTTCAAACTCACAGTAGATTATTTTGCCAACCTGCAGGCTGATGCCTGTTTTTTTTAAAGCATCTATTTGACACAGGTTTATTTCAAAAACTGCTCCCACTTGATTAAAAGGAACATACTTCTTGCACCCATTACCAGGATTGCAACCTTACAGCCCAGTCCTATTCCCGTTCAGCTCAGAAGGAAGTCCCATTATAGCAATTGAGACTGGCTCTCTGGAAAGCCTGCATAGGATGGCAACTTTGATTCAGGAATACTGTGGGGATAAGAAAAAAGTGAGATCCGCACTTGATGGAGAGATCTTCTCCTAAAATCTCTGAAGCAATGCAAAGTTTTCTTGGAAAGACTTATTCCTCCCACCCCCATCCACCACCATTAAGGCTCACACAAAGAATCCAGTCTTCCAATCACGGGTATATTGGCCAGATCCACAATGCAAGAAAAGTAGCCGTGATGCATAGTTTCTGGAGTTTTTGCAGAAATTACTGGGTTGAATCCAAAAATTATCAATGTTCTCTTAAACTAGCCGGCATACCAGACTACAGGTTTGGAGTCTTTTTCTCTGTGTTCCTCTGGTTTACCCTTCTACCCACCCCTCCTGTAAATCATGGTCCACGCGGGGTCCCCGTTTACATTCCCCACCCACTTCCCCACTGCTGGCCTCCTCTTGGCGGGCCCCGGAGATTTCCTGCCAGATAAAGAAAAGTTGAGGGGAGAGGGGCACCCGGCCTGAACTCGACGTGAAATGGTCTATCCGTCACTGCCTGGAAGGAAGCTCCAGCCTGTGAACTCTTCTTGAACCGAGATTTAAGACTCTGGTCATAAATCAACCAGGACATACACTCCAGCATTCACCACTGATAGCCGCATATTTGGGGCTTGCTTACCTTAATTCTGACGAAGCGGAAGCCAGTATTGGTCTTTGGAGGCTAGATGACAGTCGTTCCCTGCCAGTCCAGGGATCAGGCTCTCCCCATTTCACTTTAACCCCTCTGCCCTGACCACTAAGTGCCTTCTGCTCCTCTGGGATGGGGACCAGTTCAAGTCATTTCTGCCAGGACGAGCCCAAGAGTCAGAACCGGAGGCGCCCTGCCTCCACCAGGAAGGGGACACCCAAGAAGGTCTTTCTTCAGCTTGCCTCCGATGGAGTGTCCCCCCCCTTGCCCTGTCCTTACCTCATTCCGGCCCCAACCTCCACGCCCCCCATCTCACCCCTGGGGCTGAGCGAGAGTCCTGCCTCGCTACCCTGGACAAGCTCTCTCCTGGACCGGATCGCTGGGAAAAGGCAGAGGGCTGCCTATGCAACCTTGTACGCCCAAGGGGGCGTTTGTTGGGAGAAAGGAGGCAGCTGCCTCAGGAAGTCCGGGGCAGGCAGGAGAGATGGGGGGGGGGAAAGAGAGAGATGGAATGGATGGAGTGAGAAGAAAGAGGCAGTGAAAGAGTGAAGGGCCAGAGAGGCATCAGAGGCCAGGAAAATTATGCTAATCAAGACAAAGGATGTTCACAAAAAGGTCATCGCTCTCCCCAGACCTTTGATGGTACGTGTGTGTGTGTGTGTGTGTGTGTGTGTGTGTGTGTGTTTGTGTGTAAAACACACACAAACATAAATTTCAGACTCCAGTATGGCAACAGCTTGATGACTAATATAGAGAATTCTGGGGTGGGGGTGGGAGAAGGAAGGCATAGTTTAAAATCTAAAGTTATGCCACATATGGATAAACACTACCCCACCTCCACTACACACAATAGAAAGTATACTTCTGGTTTCTCCCACAATCCAGGACAATCTCTACATGGGGAGGATTAAAACAATGTAGGTGACCATCATTAGATGCCCACTTCCCCTCTTCTCTGGTTGTCCTTTCCCTAGGCAAGCATTCACATATGCATCATCCAGGAAACAGCACAACCTTCCCTTTACAAAAGGAGCAGTTAATATTTATGATAGAAGGAGAATCTGCCTCCGAGTTCAGTGGAAATCAGAAATAATGCCTGGCTGGATAACCAGTGAAATAAACTTGCCCGTATCCTTCCATGTCAGTGGGACGAAATAATTATCAAGGTTCTAATTCCAAGAAAATGTAACTAAATGCTAGATAACTAAAGCAAGGACTAATAAAGGCTAGGATGTAATTGTGAGGTTATACCCTCTGGAATATTTTGGAGAGAGGAATATTAATTTGGAATAAGGAGGAATAATTTCTCAGTCTGCTGAAAAGTATCAAGACTTTCTAAAGCACAGTCGGGTTAAGGATTTCTATCTGTGGTTATTGCCTATCTCCCCGTCTCTCAATTCACATTATTTAACAAATACTCACGGCCATGCTGATCAGCGCTGCTGTTTTGATAACTTGGGGTTTCCTTATTCTTCTTTCTCTTTCTCTTCCTCCCTTCTTTCTTCTCTCTCTCTTTTCACCTTTCTTTTTTCCACTTCTCCTTTCCTCCTCCTTTTTCCCTTTCTGCACTTTCCTGCCATTCTCTTGCTCTAGTAGTCTGATATTTAAAATAACATCAATAAGTAGAATAGAGTTTGTAATAACTCTATTCCCCCCCCCCATTCACACGAAGAGGTGGAGGTAGGGTATAAAGAGACCAAAATAGGACAAAACAAAACAAAAAACATAGCTTTAGACCCGGAGGGCGAGGTTTTAAAGTGCCCCAGAAAACCAGCCAGTTGGCGCTGCTATAAGAGCTAAGTGCGATTTTGACAGGCCTTCGTTGTTACCAAAGGTGTAGAAAATACAAAGAAGTTTCTTTAAATTGCACTGTCATCTTAAACCCCAAACAAAGCAGAACTGGGGAAAGAAGAGATTTATACACGCACTCACAAACATACACACGTACTTTCAGTTCAGGGTGGCCTCTTATGCATACCAATGGTTTTTGTCATTTATGGCGAGGCAAGATTTATGACTTCTTGCGCCAAGCTGTAAACAGAATTACCCAACAGAAAACACTTGCTTCTCAGAGCATATTGCCAGGGCGCCACATGAAAGGCATAAAGCCGAGCTGCTGCGTAGGAGGTGGGGAGGACAGCGGGACCAAAATTCACCGGTCAGCCGTTTTGCTATACCCTCCCTGCTTGGCAGTGGCGATGCAAGAAAACGCCGCTTTTGTCAATGATCAGCCCTATTACTTTTCTTCTGAAAAATGCTGATACCACATTTTTCTGTTCTCTCTCCTCCTTCCCCCCCACCTTTTGCCATCCCTCCACAAAAAGAAAAGAAAGCCAATTCTTTTGGTGGAGCTGGCAAAGAAAGTTCTCTCCGGAGAGAATTTGAGAAGAAAACTGGATGTTGAAACCCACCAGCTTCTTCCCCTGAAGTAAATAAATAAATAAATAAAACAAAATTAAGCAGACATTTTGTTCACCTTGCCCGTTTCTAAGTATATTTCATTAGGAAGGTGCCTGAAACAGCAAATTTACTAAAACTGAAGGCAAATAAAGGTCCAAATAGAAAGGAGAACTTTCCAATATTCCAATAAAAGTATCCAATTAATAGGCGGCACTGTTTTTTTCTCCTCCCATTTATTAGCTTTTTGGTTGCTAAAACCTATCTCCCGTACTCTTTGTCTCTTTCTTTAGCTCTACTGGAGTTTCAGAATTTTGGTTCTTGTTCTGGTTGTGAGTTTCTCCTTCTTTACTACTACCCTATACAGGTATCTTTGCAATCTCCCCTCTCCTCTTGTTGCCATCTAAAAAGTCAGATTCTGTTTAGATTCATGCTGGACCAACTGGACCTAAAGCAATATAAATCCAAATGGTTCAAGAACCTCTCATTCTGAAGCAAGGTAGGAATGAGGGTTATTTCTCAAAAACAAAAGCTACCTTGCATTTGCAAAGCAAAGTTTGCAAATGAATGTTTTCTCGCTAAGGAAAAAAAAATATTGACAAGTTTCCTTATCAGCTCAGCAAATAGGAAAGATCTCAGCACACCTGATTAAAAAGCACACTGTGGGTGTGTGTAAGAGATAAAATAAATCAAAACTCTGTAAATGGAACAAGAAAATACGGGAAAGATTGTTTAAAGAGATATATTATTCCAGATTTTTAACTTCAGGTCATTTAACATTCCAAATCTATGAAATCTTTCCCTGGAAGGTATTATCATTAATTTTATTGGACTTGTTTCCTGATATGGACAGCATTTAAAATCTTTCTCTACCTAGAAAGTATACTTTATCATATCAGCATCACTGATACTTGGATCTCTATTTAGTCAACTGTTCACTTTTTTAACTTCTGCCCGCAAACACGGCCTCAGGTTTGGGATTCATTATTTATGTCTGTTTTAACTGGGTCAAAAATCCTCCAGAACTGGGCCATAAATCATACAAAATGATGACAAAATAATTGAGCCAAAATTAATGCTCCCCCCTTTTTTCCCAGCTGGGTCTAGCCCATGTGAAATCTAATTTTCTTTCTCTCATCTGAAAAGCTACTTTTAAATACTATGAATTGCCAGACAATTCTATTTAATTACACACTAACAGACAAATACACAGAGATACATACTAAAGACTTATAGGTGGTTAATTTTGCAGATATACTAGAGACTTGTTTGTTTGGTAGATCAGAAAAGGAGAGTTAATTTATACTAACTTACATATACGAATGCATGTATGCTTCTCTCATATACATGCATATACAGAAAGAGATTCAGTCATATATATTTTGCTATTAAGTATCCATACCATGTCGGTTAAAAAAAGTTTTATTTTTGATACTTTATACATCTAAAATTGAACCCAAAGTTGAATAATTGCAACTGCCAATAAAAGGACCAGGAAAGCATAGCAGAGTGAAGATTGCCCCCAGCCCACTGGCAACATAAATCAACAGTCAGCACTCTGACCTTTAGCAATGCTGGGATTCAGTGGTGGATGCAATTTTATATAACATTTGTCCCCTTGTATAAAGCAAGGAAGGCATTCATGCCCTCTCCCTGTTCCATTTAGGGGGCAGTTCCTTCCATAATACGGAATGAATAAGTGGTTAGGATTTGGTGATAACTAATGCAAACCTTTAGGAAAGACAGAGGAAGGCATGCATCTGCTTTTGCTGCTTTCCAGAGTCCTACTCAAGCAAATATGGCCCTGTAAAGAATCTCATTGATCACTATGGCGCATAGATGGATGGATGCTTTTCTTCCATTCTCAGATAGAAGAGTGAAGAAAGATGCAAGTGGAATGGGGGAGAGAGGCACACCTTGCTTCCGTACTGAATTGATAAAGATTTTCCTTGCAGAGGCTCTATGGGGTACTGGTAAAAATAATATCGTCATGCATCACAAATAAAATGGCAGCTGAATTGCATATACATTCTATCTGAAAACCCCTCTCCCCAAATACAAAAGAAAGAGAGAGAGAGAGAGAGAGAGAGAGAGAGAGAGAGAGAGAGAGAGAGAAGCATTTTGTTTTTGGCTGTGATCACAATCTAACATTGCTCAAAACGCTCATGAAACAAATAATAATAATAATAATAATAATAAGTCACAAAGAAACAAGCAGCATCAAAACAAGCCTCTCTTCTTCCTTCATATTTTGATTTTTAAAAGGAATCACTATATCTTTTAGCCAAAAAATGAAACAAAAACCCAGAAAACCCCATTCTGGAACGATCCACAGGAATTTTAACCTTTTGAGTAGGGACCGGAGGCAGGGTGGGGATAGTTCTCTGTTCGTTGCAAAGCTCGTTGCAAAGATCCCTCTCCCAGCCTCACAAGCCCAGCGAAACAAAGAAGAAGGCGAAGTGCATAGCCTTCCTTAAGCCTTTCCCCCCCCCCTCCCGGGACTTTTGCGTAGCCCCACTAGAAGTCGCGCGCTCCAGGAACAATCAACGGAAATACCTTAAAATAAACTCCATCCTCTCTGTCTCCCTCCTTTTTTTTTTTTTTAACGAAGCATTTCGCCCTAATAGCAGGGCAATAATAACCTTTCCATCAGGATCAAGTGCGGTAGCCCAAACGGAGACTTCCCGAGGGTGAGCGTAGTGCTGAGGGGCGGGAGGGGGACCGGCGGTGGATAACAGAAAGCAGTCCTTGCTCTGAACAGAAACTGGTAAAGCGTAATCACAGACGAAGCCAGTCCGGATCTCCACTCCAAATAGCACAATAATGCGCTGTATTATGTGCTCACGTGGTCATACGTCAACTTAAATCCTTTTATTTGAAATCGGGAATCGCTGAAGGAATCAGGGTTGGAAGCTTGAGCCTCTGGTGTATGTGTGTACGCGCGCGCATGTGTGTGTGTGTGTGTGTGAGAGAGAGAGAGAGAATAAGAGAGAGAGAAAGAGAGAGAGAGAGAGGGAGAGAGAGAGAGTTTGCTTTCCCTTCTTTCCTCTTAAGCTTTAAGCAAGAACATTTCACAAGAGTGAGCAGAAAACCATGAGCTGGAGACGTTTATTATTATCCTCCCAACCCACATATTAATTTTCCCCGCTGTAAGTTTTAGAGGGAAGGTAAGAAGAATTATTTTTAATCAAAGATTAATAAGATGCATTGTAGAATGAAATCTCTCTGGTGACCCTTCAGAGGTGGGGGGTGGTGGAAGAATACTGGACACAAAGCAGATGAACTTCATCTGGATTTTTACAGGGAAACCCTTCAGACCACCAGCCATCCTGCAGCCTCTTCTGTAAGTCTATTGAGGGGAGGCTTGCTCAACACCCACATAGTACACCAGAAGTTGTTGTGGAGACTCCAAAGACTTTGAATTATCTGACAAAGGACCTTCTGATAGAAACTACTGGATAGCTGCCCTTGTCCTGTTAATGGCCCAGGAGAAGGAGGACAAGGAAGAGGACACCATCTGCCTGTAGATCTAAATTTCACCAAAACCTTGGGACCTTCTCATTCAACCCACACTTAAGCATTTCCTATGCAAGTACTTGAGTAATGTGCAAAATTACAGAGTTCTAGAGTGATGAAAAATTTAAGAGAAAATAATATAGCTAGCTGTCTAGGAACAGAGAACTTTGAAAACAAAGAGGAAGGGAAATAAAAAGTTCACACAAGACTTTTAAGTGAACTTAAGAAACTTTTTTTTCTTTTTTGCTTCTGGACAATATATTTCCATAACATCTTCTAACCTAGGAAGACTTTTAATAATGAAGAAACAAGCTAGTCCTTCTATGGGGCCCACTTTGGTAGTTCTAATGGACAATTTCTACTTACTAAGACATTTCCTCTTAATTGGACCATGAGAATGAGCTCTTTGCATTCTGCTTCTTTCAACACTCTGTCAAGCTGCTTCTCTCTCTTTCCATTCCCTCCCTTTGTTATGAATTTAAAGTGTGTGAGAAAATAAAATTTACAGGTTCCACCAACATATGGTTCAATTGTGAGTAGTAATGTTCTCTAACTTTAAATTAACTTTAAGAGTGATTGACTAAGAGATTACTGGATTATGGTTAAAACAGAAAAAAACATGTTCAGCAATCATATGAAAGCACATGGATTCATTTTTTTTTTTTTTCAGTTTGTCAGAAAATCCCCCAGTCTTAGACTGGTTATTCAGCTTCTCTGACTTTTAGGAAAGATATTTTCAAACCAGCAATAAGCACTTTAATAACATAGACTATCTTAAAAGGAGAGCAAAAATCTTGCTACAGTGTTGTAATTCGGTGCATATTTACTTGGGAACAAGTTGCATTTACTGTTGTGAAATCAGACCTCAGCAAACTGCAAAATCAAATTGACTGAAGTCAATAAAAGAATGCTCCTAAAACACATTTTCCTTGGAGGCAATTTTCATGACTTTGTTTTCAGATAAGAGTGCCCAGAATTAAAGCCTCCAAAAAATGGAATTTTGACTGTTGCCTAAGATTGTCATAAATTACAGGGTATCTGTACAACCTTAAAAGCTAGCATATACTTTTCTACAGCACAACTATTGTTCAGAGTTCTGCTGGCAAAAGCTAATCTGAAACCAAGAGCAACTTTCTGCTCAGAAGAGTTTCACAGGTTATTTAAGGCAATGTTTCAAACCAGTCAAGAGACCCTCAGAACCTTTTGTACAACATGAAGCTGTAATTAATGGTTAATGAAAAGAGGTGCATAAAAATAGAAAAAGTTACAAAAAGTTTTGCATGGAGTTAAAAGTGAAAAGAAATCACCAAAGCAATCATGATTATCCAAAATTTAGGGTGCAACTTCAATTTACAGGCCTATCTAGAAAATCTTCCTTTGCTTTTCAAAGATCTGTTTTCTCTGAAGTTGTTTCTTGGTGCTGTGTTAATGTGAAAATTGCTGTTGAACTATTAACTCCAGTACTCACTGAAGATGTATGTGACTATTTTAAACAAACCTTCTAGGAACCTAGTTTTTGTCTTGCTGGTAGAAAATCACTATGATATTTTTCTATCATCTGAAGGAGCTAGAAATTTGAACACTTTAGGAGACCTAAAAAACATTACATTTATTGGGGGATTTAGATAAAGATAAGCTTGTTCATGCACCCACAGAATCCAAGCTGGAGAAACATGAAACAGATGTGAGCTGGGATCTCAAACAAACTTTTCTGGAAGAAAAAGGAGAAGACCACTGATATCCTTGGTCACTGCTTTCCAAATAAATGGCTAAAATTTTTGGATCCAAGCATAATCAATTCCTAACCTCTACTTGAGCTAAATCTACCAAGAATGATCATATCCATATCTATTACAAGATAAGTCCTACTGATTTCAGAGGGACTTTCTATCAAATATCCACAATCCTGAAGCTTTCGAAGAAAAGTGGGCTTTTCTTCTCACTAACCATGTTTTCAATTATATATATATATATAATTACTGAATTCAGTTAGTTCTGAGAAAAAATCAGATGTCTATTTACAATAAAAAAATTTAACATCAGCCTTACAGTTATAAATATGTGTGTGTTGTGTATGAGGCTGGTTCTTGTTTTTGGTTTTTTTTACCTTTAACTTTTACATTAACATTTATAGCTAAAAAGAAATCTATATTAGAGTTTCTGGTTGAGTTGTGTGTGTGTGTGTGTGTGTGGCTTATTTTTATAGTTCCATTTACAGAATCTGTTCCAGCCCTGGAAGACATCTACCTTGACTCTTATTAGCTAACTGTACTCATTCAAATAGAATATTTTCTTATTAGACAAATATGGGGAAGGATGAATAAATGTTGTATAAATAAATAGGATCTTTTCTAAGGTTAAGTTAGAACATAGAAAGTTGGGACTGGAATGATGGTGTATTGAATGTCAAGCACTTAAGTATAAGCAACTTTAAGTTTCTCCCTTTCTAAATATTTTTATATTGAAATACAATATTTTATTCTGAAACAGCCAAAAACCAGGATTCTAGGGCTTCTTTAAAAGGAAGAACCTGAACAAACTATTATATTAGCATAACAAATTCTTGTAACATTATAATTTATGGCAATCTTTAAACAGGTACTAACCTAATTCTGAGTAATTTTAGCAGACAATTCAAATAACCATCCATATGCATTAGTCTGAAATCCTGGTAGAACAATCTTTTTAACAATGTTAGAAATTTGAATGAAATGAGAACTCAAACTTTAACATCAAAAGTAGACAACAACAAAGTTTTCAATTAATCCATTTTCATTGCTTTCAGAGGCTTTCCAAGAAATTTTAAAAAGTAAAATTCTACATTCCTAGAATGTATTATTCTATTCCCACATTAAAAAAAACAAAACCTAAAACTCTATTTATTCTCTCCTGTATAAATACAAAACATTCTAAAATTAGGAGACACTTTGGGAGTCACGAAAGAGAAACACTATTAATGGTCCATCAGTGTAAACCTTTTAATGATCAACTTGGTCTTATATCTTGACACCCATCCCCAATGCATATTCAATAACACCCTTACTTCTTTGGCTTTTTCCAGACGGTGTGCAAGACTGCCTGATTGAATGGAGCTTAGAGAACTGCTCTTACTTAGGCTCTGTGTATTTCTTTGTTTAACAAGAAGGGCATTCACTGACCAAGAAAGATGAATAGACCAAACTGAAGAAAATTCCAACCGATTTAGCTATTTATCAAACCCCAACTCTGCAGTAACCTCTCTAACAAGTATTGGCAAACCAAGTCCTTTTCCCTGCAACATGAAACTATTTTAAACTGTTGTACAAGAGGTTTAATTTCCTTCCTCCGCCTCCAACAAGGTTCTTACCTTCTCGTCCTTCCAGCCACAGGACAGAATTGTTTCCAGACTGTATTCTGCTTTAAATAATATTTTCCCAATGAACTGGAGTGCTGTAAACAAAGAATAGGCAACATATAAACTAAAAATTAAACACTATTGAAGTTACAGATATCAATTTCAAGTGAAGGGAAGGAACAGGACTGTTGAGTAACTTTAAAAAGTACAATATTAGTACAATCAATTTTCTATTTTGGTTATAGAATGGCAAAAACATTAATAAAAGTAAATGGATAATGCTAATACTAATAATGATGATGTTTGCAATAGTGTGAATGAAATTGAAAGATAGTTTTGCAATTAGTGACCTGTTTTCTGTGAATATAATTCTTATCAGAAACATGTATTTTTATGTATCTAGGAAATCATTGTTTTGCATCATTTAATCAAATAAAGCCATGAGGTATTACCAACACTGAACACTGTTATATTGTTCTTGATTCAGAATCAAGAACAATAATTTAAAAAGGAGTGTGACGTTGGAAGCAGGATAATTAAAAAAAAAAGTGTGTCTGTCTTCTATGGGTCCCTTAGTAAAAACAGTGCATCGGGATAAGATTGTTGGCCTCAATAATAAGTTTTCTTCAACCATTTTTAATAATGAGTGTCTTGACCTTCTTTTCCTCCTCTGGTTCTATCAGCACCAAAAAAATTTTTTAAAAATATACATGATTCTCCTTCACTTGGCTAGTAAAAGTGAGTGTCCAGTATTGATCCATTTTTCTCTTGGAAGATCATTGCCCCAAATGTTTTTTTTAAAGGCCCTGTTCCCTTTGGGGAAAAATTCTATAGAATTTGAATTTTGGTAATTGGTTCCTTTGTAGAGGTAGGTTTGGTAGGAAGTAGCAAAATTTTAGTTTTTGGACTAAACAGCCATTGAGAAAGAGAAAATCAGACATAATTATTTATTTGGGGAGGGGTATTTTTTTTACGTTGAACAAGAGCCTTGCTTTCCAGAATTGCCCGTGGATTGCATCAAATATTTACTGCTAAACTGAGAGTCCTCACCCAGGTTCGGATTCCTGTTACTACAATATTGTCCTCCCTCTCCATATTTCTGCTACTTTCGCATTATCTCCTTAAAAAAAAAAAAAAGCAAGCATCGCTTTGTAAAACCATCACACCAATTGCCTTGTTTGATTGAACCCTCTTTCCCTTTGTATGAAATATGCATTCCTGCCGTCAGAAACTTAGGGTGCATTGAAGAGCGATTAAAAAACACATCGTGGGATTTTAGATTGCCAGAGGGGTGGGGAACAGTCTTCTTTCCTTTTCAAAAGTTGCGAAGTAGCCCCAGAGGTCTTACCGGAAGATGATAACTTCTTGTTATCCCCAAATCGACCCTTAATAGCGATATTTTCCTTCCGTATTAAATCGCTCGGCTTAACTAAGAGTTAGGAAGAATGCCTCCCTCCCAGACTTCAGTGTGGACTACCAGCCACCCGCATCTCCCTTCCCCTTTCTCACGATGCTTGCTGCTCTCCCGTTTCTTGTTTGGCCCTGATGGAGAAGCCGATAATTTATGAAGCCCTGGAAAATTTAATCCCAGCCACCAAATCCCTCCCTCCCACGCGGGGGCTGGCAACCCTCCCCAGGGAGAGTAAGGACCAGAAGTGAGTTATCAAGTCGATTTCGCCTAATAGTAGAACTTACCGCCGGGCTATTTGTCAGCAGATTTCAACCTTTGGTAAAAACTACTTCCCAAAACCAGTCAGCTCAAACAATGAACCGCGATCAAGGAGCAAGGCTGGTCCCTACGTACTTACTAACCTCCTCATTCCCCCTTACTGCTTGCTTAAGAGGCTTAGACTCTTGCAAACATACATCAATAAGGCTGGCCGGTGGGTTTGGTTTGGTTTTTTAACGAAAAGATTGGGGGTGGAAGAGTTGGGGGTAAGAAAGAGGAAGTTGCCCTTCACTTCGGAAAGAATCACTTCGACGAGTGAAAACTGACGGCCACCGATTCATTGCTGGAGACTGAAATTAATTATTTAACCTGTCACGTGATGTTCCTCGGGGTGGGGGGCGTCCCCTTCCCAGATTAAAATTTCAATACTCCGAAAACAGAGGCAACACCTTTATCTATCCTAGCAGAAGCTTTTCAGGCACTTATTGAACCCTTATAATCCCTTTCTGACAGTTTTTCAGTTTTCGAAGAGGTCCTTTGGACATCAATAATGTGCGGGGGGGGGGGAGGGAGGAGTGTCAAACTAGGGGAGAATGAACAGGCAAACATGCTCTCCATCCCCCACCCCCCACCAGTCACTGGGATTCGAATTTGTATTGTCAGCTGCAGGTAGGGGCATAACTGGGTTTTTGTTCCAGCCAAGACACTGGCAGGAGTGTTTGTGATGAGAGTGCCAGATAGCCAGACTCTTCAAAGAAAGGCTATCAAATGCTTCATAATTCCCTGTTCATGGCCTTTCTTTGAATGATATGGAAGGCGATGAAATCTGGATTAATTGTGCAGCTTGCAGGAATATTAGCACTCTTCAAGGAAGGGAAATGCCTTGGCCTTTGGTCAAATCCAGAGAGAATACTGGGAAGGCCAACATCCTACTGAAATGTAGGGTGGAAGGTATGAAAAACTTTTGCCAGCAGGTAACAACCACCCAAATTGCAACTAAGCTTCATTGGGCTAGAGCTGGACTAAGTTTCAGCAGAGATATTTATTTTATTTTCATTTATTTGTATCCAACCTTTATTAGTTTTAGAAATAACTAAAGGCAGTGAACATATTCAGCACAAAGTTCCCCCCCCCCCCGCCACGGTATTTTCCTCACAACAACCCTGTGAGATAAGTTGGGATAGAGAAAATGACTTGCCTAGGAGTCAAGTCAAGTCAAGTTCCTCTAACTTCATGTCTATTCTGCAAGAAATGTATATAGGATTATGGTCATAGACTATTTCATTAGTATCATTAATGAGAATAGGCTTTCTAGCATTACAGCATAGGTGGACGGTTGTAGAAGATGCTAGAATTAGTGGAGTGAAAATGGCTTTAACTGCTCTTAGGTCTGATTGAAGTTAATGTGACAAGTCAATCAATGTCTCCTCATGTAATTTGAAACTAAATATAACTAATCTAGTGAAAATCCATCCCAGTGAATTCAGCTGGATTTCAGCATGATCTGGCTTATATTTGTGCTAAAACCATATCAGGAAGGAAACATTTTGGCCTGTTGGAGGCCAGCAGGTTCAGTGGTGAGAAGAGGCATTGCTGAAGATCTCTTATGGAATGGGGAGAACATTAGACAGCAGCTTCAAACAAATCTGCAAAATTCCACAGTGCTCAAAAACAGTGTTATCTGGTTATCTCATTCATCGTTTTAAGGATAATCAGATTTCCCCCCAAACAGTATTTGTTGAAATCTAGAAAAAGTTTCCATAGCTTTTAAAAAGAAAACTGGGCTCAGGAAAATCTGGAAGGCACTAGGCTAGAAAGGCTAAACTGGAACTTCCCTAACAAGTGTCCTTTTTCCATTGCTCTCTCTTGCAGTGCAAATGTATAGGAAAAGCCATGCAGTGTAGTTCCTTCAACAGCCACAACCATACTCTCCTGTGCCTGTCATAAATCACAAGAGAAAGCTTCCCTTTCTTGTTTATTGGTCTTCGAGTTGGTTCACACTAAGGTTGCTTCATGTAATGGTGTCACTACGATATCGATCTTTTTGTATATTTCTGTGGGGAGCTAGCTAAGCAAACAAAAGAGCACTTTTCTCTAATTTTTATTTAGGGGGAGGAAGAGGGGAACCCCTCCCCAGGTTAGCTCTGCAATCTCGGTTGAGGATATAAGTCAAGGACAGAAATGGTGGAGTGAGAATCAGTCCCAGAACTGATATAAGGTCAAAAGGGGAGAAAGAGAGCAAACAAGATGGCAAGAGTAGAAAGCAAGAAAAGAAATGGCCACACTTCTATCAGTGTAACCTTTATTCCTGCTTGAAAAATAGAGACACCAGTAAAAGGAAATACTTTTCAGCCTTCTTTTCCTCTTCCTATTCCCCCCCCCCCCTCAGCCCAGCACCTCCATCAGCCAGACCATGTATTGTAATTTTTTTGTGGCTGCTGGCTAAAATGGCCTGTCTAGCCAGCTTCTTAAGGGTTTGAATGAACTACACAAGCAGTGATTAAACAAAACAAAAATAAACAAATCTCTGTGCCATCCCACAAATTGGAGTGGCAGAAGCCTTCCTTGCCCTGCTCTGCCTTGTGTGGGAGCACCAGTGGACTATTTTGGGGGAAAGAAGGAGATTTCTTTCTCTTTTCTTTTTTTTCCCCCTAGGTGCAACTTTAAAAGAAACACTTGATTTTAGAATCCTCTTCCTTTACAACAGGGAAAAGATGTTTGCACATATCTATTTATCGGTGTGAGGGACATAAAAGGGAGGGGAGGAGACCAAAAAAGAGAAGCATATTTAAAAGTCCAAGAATCAGATTAGAAAGAATACGGTCTTTAAAGGTCAAGGGTTTGATGGGTCAGTCTGCTTCTTTAAAAAAAACAATTAATGGGACAGAAAATGTGTCCTTTCAGTGAACTCTACTCCTTGCCCTGGTGCAATGACAGGACAATAGTAGGGTTTAAACACCTACCCTGTCTTTCTTGGAACAATTGTAACATTATTTAAGCCAGCTAAGGTAGAAACCCAGGGCACCTACCAGATAACAACACAGCCTCTCCTGCTCCCCCATGCCCATCCCCATTCCCAAGTGCAACTACACATTTAAGTGACAATATGGGAAAAGATCCATAAAATGTTTTTTTAAAATTACCTTGAACGGTGACAATCTGCCATATGTACGGGTCCGATACTCCACCCTGAAAGCATACACCTTCAGGGTGCAGCCAAGCAACTGTGTCTTTTATACATGAACACATTTTCCCCAATCCTTCGGTGGTATCTTCATAGACCTTTTCCAAGAGAATGCCTTTCAGAATCGCTGTTGAATTACAAAGAAGTATTTATTGTAGGGGGTGATTAATGATTCCCAGTAAAATTGCTATTTTCAGCATGATTTCATTTTGCTTTTTTTTTAACCATGGGGAAAGAGAGGGGAAGGGGGGGCACCCAGCATAAGACATGGGAAGTAAAAGAGGATGCATCCTTTTTTACTTATGTGGCCGATTAAACACCTTGAAGATTCCTCTTAATTTGTAAGTTTCTGTAAATTAGCAGGAAAAAAATCTTCATGTCAAACACAGAGTTTAGACAAAGAGGCTCAGCATAAAGAAGGAGGGAAGCCTCCCATGTTTTCTGTGCCATTCTCTTCTATTTCATTGAACAATTCAGGCCAAGCATGTCTTTCAGGTTTTACGGGAGATCTAATTTGGGCTGCTCTGTTTGGCCTGAAATTTATTTTCATAACAATATGACATTTTAATACTGTCAATATTGTGACCCTCCTCAGGTCAGAAGAATTCTCATATATTCATATGAGTTAAATTTTGCCACTTTTTCTCTGAGAACTCTCTCTTACCAGTGAAAAATAACTAAAAGAGAATTAATTGCACCATATAAATTTGCCACCCACCAGCAAAATCTTGTTCTAAATGGCAATTAAGGCCTGAAGGTGTTTTGCTACTTAAAATAAGATCCCAATCTATCTTTAAGTTGGAGATTTTTTATATGTGCACATTGTACAAACCATTCAAAGAATCAGCTGTAAAAATGTTATATCAAGACCCATCTTCCTGATGGCAGTCCACAGCCCTTCTCTCTCTCCCTCTCTCTCTCTGCATTATTTAGCATGAAGGATGCCAATTTATTATAATTCAAAAAATTGTGTGTTATTAAAACTGGAAGAAAAGTTGCTACTACTAACAAATAAACAAAAAAAGACAGTTACACTATGTTGTAAAGTAAGGCTAGTGTGATAAGAATAATATTAATCATTCCTGCCAGTGTATAGAACAGTCTCTATTTCTGGTGGCATAGAAGTAAGGATACACTATACACACAAAAGACAAAGCTTCTAAACAAGAATGGAAAAAAGACTGAATTGCTTTTGCATGATGGGTAGGTTCCCATAGATATCTCAGTTAAACTCAGTTGCCTACTTAAGATGAGTATTACAAGTCGGGTTAAAAACATCCTATTTAACCCACCATCCCCACTCTAGTCCAGTTTATTTCAATAGGACTTGCTTCCACTTCCTTGCAGTCATAGGGGCCTAAGACTCAGGTGCTGTATGAAAATCAGGGCCCTGAAAATCAGCATGATTTCTTCCATCTAACATATTTTGGGTTGATTCTGAATACTGTTTGGCTTTAATACTAAGATTCAGCCTTTACCAACTAATGGCAAACCCAGTCAATTTCTCTTGTGTGCAGATTAGACACTCCAATACGTCTACTTGTTTAAATAAAATGTGGCTAGAAGGTATCAACAAAAGCCCGGACTTTGGAAATGCATGGTTCTGGCAGTGTGTCTAGTGCTTTTAATTTTATTTGTGTACAGAATATTCTTTATTAACAGGACTGGACATTATATATATATATATATATATATATATATATATATATATATATATATATATGTATTTATATATACAGTGATATACATACACACACATCACACTTTCACAAATGTGTACATGTAGAATTCACATATTTTTCATAGTCATGGACTGTGATATGACATAAATATAAGCTGAGCTTTTAGAGCAAGGTTGGTTCATTTTTCTTGAAAATAAGAATAAATGCAAGATTAGGGACACTACTGTCACAACTGGAGCAAGAACTACACTTAAAAAAATAGTATTTTTGGAACATGGAAAACAGTTTCTTCAACCAGTCAGGGATGAGGCTGGATGTTGTTGAGTGTCCCCCTTCTCTAATTTTCAGATGACTTTAGTGAAATCAGAGCAGTTTACTTCTGCATCTTCCAAGAGTGCAGGAACAAATATTCCACAAAACAACACAAGCCTAGGGTTTACACACAAAGTTACTTATCAATACTATGTTGCCTCAAAACATCTATACAAAGAGTGTTTTTAAAACTTTGGTCTATCCACAACTCCCATAAATTAAAAATAAAAAGATCATGGAGGGCAAGAGGAAGACATATTTACAAAGGAGCAATACTGTCCAGAACTTATTTGCTTTTTGGTTTGAACACATATGTGCTTTTTTCATCAGCTAGGATTTTTATTTTGCTGTTTCTACCCCTCAGTACAATGGCTTGGTCCCCAGGCCAAAAGGAAAAAGAGGCAAGAATTGGAGAAATGTTAGGGATAGTGATGTCTCCCCCCCCCCCCCAAGAGTCTGGTCATCATAGTGAGGCTGAGTTTAAAGTGGCCCTGCTTCTGGGGGTCAGTGTGCCCTGCTGGGCTGGAGCTTTGGCTGGCTGGTGGTGACCAGAATTGTTGGAGGAGCGCATCTTGGTGTTAGGCAATTTATGATCCTTCTTCCACTTCATCCGCCGGTTCTGAAACCAGATCTTGACCTGTCGCTCAGAGAGGGAGAGTGTGTGCGCGATCTCAACGCGTCGCCTCCTGGTCAGGTAGCGGTTAAAATGGAACTCCTTCTCCAGCTCCAGGACTTGTTGTCTTGTATAGGCAGTTCGAGATCTTTTTGGCTCCCCTCCATTGTAGCTGGGGCTGACTGAGCGTCCACACATGCAGGTACACGCACACACCACCCAGATGCATAAAAGAAGAAGGCAAGGGAAGGTTATCATTATTGTGCCATAAATTCAATGCCGCGGGCTCCTTTTTAAAATAGGAAGAAAAGGTTTTGCAGGCTCTTGACAAAAGGGGACAATTAGGGAATCAGTAAAATTGGTAATGGGCTTTTGGACTCAAGGAAATCTCAAAGACCTACCGCCCAGAACCACCACCAGGACTATTAAATTTATGGGGGCCATCATTATTGCTCTAACAGCTTGGCATCATAAATCTTTTGCTCAAGGGCCCCACCCACAAAAGGGGTTCTCACTGCTCCTTTCTTTCGGCGTTTCGCTTTAAAACTAAGAAACCCTCTCCCAAATGCACACCCAGCCCTAACCCAGCCTCCGGGACCTCGCTGCGCTCAGTGCCAGATCCCCCTGGAGAAGGCCAACTCACCCGTGCTCACGTGGATCTTCTTCATCCAGGGGTAGACCACCGGCTCCTTCCCTTTGAGGCTGGGCGAGCTCTTTTCGGGCAAAAGGGGGCAGCCGGGACTACCCCCGGAAGCTGCTCCCAGAGCTACTTCGCAAGGACGCTGCTGAGGCTGTGGGCCGTGGCCTTGGAGCAAGGGTTGGGAGGCCACTTGATGGCCCTTCGGGGCAGGAGCTGCTGAAGCCGGCGGCAGCTGTGCTGAGGGGGGTGGCGAGGCTCCGGGAGCTGGATGCTCCTGCCCCGGAGGGGCGCTGAGGCTGTGGTAGTTGTAAGGCGACTCGGGGTAGTGGGAGGGCTGCGTTAGGTACCGCGCCGTGGGGGGCTGCGGAGGCTGGTATCCCGGCTCTCTGCTCGGCCGCTGGTAGAAGTCTGGAAGAGGCTGGCGCAGGTGCAGCTGCTGTAGTTTTTGCTGTTGCTGGGGATGATGGGGATGGGGGTGTTGGTGGGAGTGTGGATGGTGGTAGTTGTTCCCGCCGCCGCCGAGCTGTGAGTATTCTTCGCAAGGAGGGAACTTGGGTTCGTTGTAGTTGGAGTTTATCAAAAACGAACTCATGGCCATTAATTTGTGAAGTGCAAAAATACTAATTTTTCTCGCGTTGTCGTTTTTCTGGGCTCGATGAGGCCCCTCCTCTCCTCCCCTTCCCCCTTCCTTCCTTCCCTCCCTCCCTTCCCCCCTGCCTCCTCCTCTCTCCCCTCCCGCCGCTGTTGTCAAGCGCCTCCCGCCAAAGTTTGGGGGGCCCTCCCTTCCCCCAGGAATTCCCACCCCAAAAGCTCAAAGCGTGAGCTCGGGTACACACAGACGCGCGCTCAAAGACACAGAAAGAGGGGGGGGAGGGGGGAGAGGGAGAGAAAGAGAAAGAGATACCACTGCCACCCCCACCACCTGACCGGCAGGGCCAATTGCCATGCGGTTGGCAGAGCCCGGATCAGGAAATAGAAGGAAGATTCGTTAGGGAAACGCAGGATGATCCTATGTGCGTTTTCCCCGCTCAGGGAAGAAGGGATCCAGTAAAACGAGGGAAGGACGGATGGAAGGAAGGAAGGTCTCCGAAAACAGCAATAGATCCGTTTTTAAGTTTTGAAAGACTACAAAATGAGGTGAACCTAAGACGATTCTGAAAATGCAAGCTGTCAAGGGTTTTGTGGGTTCTGAAATCCTAATTTATTGTTTTAGGAGCCTTTTCTAAATCCAAGTTCACTTAATCACAAATCAGCTGGCCTTACTGCTCCTGTAATTTTTAGAGAGAAATTCATTAAAGAATTCCAGCAAATAAGAGTTTGCCTGGAGATTCTAAGCTTGTACCCCGTCAAGAAGGAAATAAAGGTGATCTATATTCTAGATATATTGTTCTTGAATACAAGGCTATGATCTGAGTGAGTTTGTGTGGGGGGGGGATGGATGGATGGATGGAGATAGATGGATAGATAGATAGATAGATAGATAGATAGATAGATAGATAGATAGATAGATAGATAGATAGATAGATAGATATTGGCTATTGCACAATTCGTTCTGCAGAAGCTGCTTTTCCCGGAGGTACAACTGTGCAAGCAAATCTTTCTACAACTGTTTTTTCCCTGTATCTATTCTTTGCCTGTTCCCTTTTTGAAAGAATAACCAAGCCAGCTAAAGATGAGAATGAACAGTATGATGTATTCAGTAAATTTTGGAATATTAAAAAATAGGAATAGTAGTAATCAATAACTTTTTAAATACTAAGAAACAAAGGCCAACTAATTTCAATGAGCTACTTGTTTCCTTCTGATTCTTCTCCAGGGCTTTCAGATAGGGTGTTTTTACTGTAATTTAGTTATTCTAAACATCCAACATGCCTTAGCAAATCAAGAGTGGCACATCATTTCTTAGAGATGCAGATATGAAATGAAAGTTGATAGACATAATCAAACAGAAATCCAATTAATTATAAAAGTAGTTAAGAAAGATGAAGTCATTTCTGCAAGTATTAATAAGGAAGCATAGAAATTCAAGAAGTTACCAGAAACCCAGTTTTCTTTGTAGCCCAGATGACTTTTTGTAGCACCAAACCTAGGTGATTTTAAAGAAAAGCCTTTCACAAATATGAAAACTATTGCCTTCATGCGAGAAATGTTTTTATCTTTCTGTCACTGCTGAAAGTTTTTTATCTCTGCTATCACTGCTGAAAACACTGCTGAATAAGGAAGCAAGTGCATAAACTGATGTTCTAAATCTGTTTAACAAATATAAGCATAGCAAGAGGCCCTCTTCCTTTATCATTACAATAGGGGACCAAGCCTATGGCCATTTCCTTGAAAATAAATCATAGTGAATCCATGAGAGTTTTTCATGAATGGAGAATATCATAAAAATTATGCTGCTAAAATAACATTTTAAAGTATTATTCCACAGGTAAATGTGTATTCAACCCTTTTTTTTAGTTTTTAGTTTGTCACTGTTTTTATCAGATTTCTTAGTCCGGAGAAGACAAGGGGTCAGTTACCCTATTATTTCACTGCAAATGTAGATTAATGTGGTTATATTAACCTTCCATGCTTTATGTATGGATAAGTATGATTGCTTCCAAATTAAAATCCTATAACCAAATATTTCGAGGTGGGATGGGGACTACGGGGTGCTGTGCGTGTCCCAACATTACTTTTTCATTAAGAAGATTTTTATTATTAAAATTATTGTATCCTTGTTGCATTTCCTATTTCCAATAACATTTCCCCACTGCCTCTTGTCTTTAACACCCTATCTCTGACCTATAAAATCAAATACCAGGTTTTTAGGTCATACCAGAGACATGTCTTCTCTGTTAATGGGCACAACAATTTTCCTTTATCATCTCCAGTAGACTTTTTATGAAGCATTTTTTCTGTCATGCTTTATCCATGGAAGGTAGTCAGATGTCATTTCCTTGGGGTAGACCATAAAACACTTGTAAGCAACAGATGAGACCCCACCACTGAATCCCATAGGGAAGCAATTTTTTTCCTGTTTTATCCACTTCTGTTTTATGGTTTAAATGGGAGTGAGAATGGAAGTATGGATGTTGCCATCAGGGGTGGGTATGGAGTAGGTAAGTTCAATATTTTATTGCTACAAACAGGACTTGGGATGAGTCTAAATAGTTAAGGCCCTAACCCTGTGTGTCCATCAAACTGGAACACAGCAAGTCTGCAGTTGCAATGAGCATCTCTGAATCTTTTCCTGAAAGAAAAGCCCCCACCCACCCTTGGACCTGAGGATTACTACAACTATTGAAAAAGTAGGTCTCCCTTCAACAACAACAACAACAACAACAACAACAACAATACATGGAAAGCAAGTACCTTATTTCTGTCTGCTGAGTAGGACCTGGCAAGAATGTCCCAGGGGCTGCTTAAGATTAGCACTTTGGATTCTCAGTTCTCTTCCCTTCACTGCCTTGCACTGGGTGCCTCCTTTTGCTCAACACCACAGAAATAAAAATGATTCTACAGCCTGTAAATCTCCAAGGTGACCAAGGCTATTCTTTCTGACTCCAGAGATAGGCCTGTTCCTTGTCTTGATGGTTTCCCTATCATATCATAAACAAGAGCCGGGCCAAGACCACCTAGGATTATCTCTCCAGCAGCAGTTCGCACATCCCCCCCCTTATGTCTCCAGAGATTTATGCTCTTCTCCACAGGCACACATACTGCACCCAGAAACCTGGCCTAGCCAACATTAAGCACCATCCTTCTCAGTAACATACCCTGCACAGTCTTTGGGGAGGTGAAGATGATTCCATTGACAAGAGAGCATTTCTTATCTCCAGATCAAAAGTTCTCATCCCAGTTGGGTTGAGCTGAGCTGGGGGATAATTTATTGAAATTAAAGAAGAAACGAATAAAAGCTACAGCGGTCTTTAGCAAGATCGGATACTGGAGGAGCAAAATTGTAGATTTATCTTCCTTTAATGGTCGCTGACTAGAGAAGAGCAGTATGTATCTGAAGCAAAAAATGTGTACACACACACACACACACACACACATTTTGTCTTGCCACATGTGCCTGGAAGAGAAGATGAAAGGAGAAGATGGCTGCTCAACAAATCCGGCACCGTGCCTGGCCACTGATTTGATGCATTTTGTGTATATTTAACCCAGCTTGTTCAACACAACCCTGCCCCAAGATTCAAAGTAACTGAAAAGTGACACTGGGCACATTTTGGTTCTTATTAATCTTACACATTGACAGTCTTTGTTAAATAACAAGGCGTGCCTTTCACCAAGCGACATTTTCTTATTTGTTAGACTAGTTGACCTGAAGTTCACCTCAGCCTTGGACTTAGTCTTTTTTTCCAGGAGATCTTCGAGGGTGTCTCTTTTTAAAAAGGGGGAGAGGGGGGTTTTAGTTAGATCTTTTATTCCTAAATGGGAAAGATCCTGAAATTCTTCTATAAGAAAAATGTAATCTTTGTGAAATGTGGGAACTGTATTTGCCTTTCACATTCTAGAATAAAAAAAGCTCATGAAAAGGAATTGATCAGCTTTTTTTGCTTCTTTTTTTTTGATGCTCAGCATTTGGCAGTTGGGTTTTGACACTGGAAGAAATGCTAGCTGAGCATACACATCTATCTGTAAGAATTTTCATCATAAGGCTTGACTATTTCTGGTCTTTGTATTCTCTTAACAGTTATTCTTAAAGAGGAATCTGAGTGTTGAAAATACAGAGCCAGAGTGGTCTAGTGGTTAAGGCAGCAGGCTAGAAATTCTAGTCCCATTTTAGGCAGGAAAGCCAGCTGGGTGACTTTGGGCCAGTTACTCTCAGCCCAACTCACTTTACAGGGCTGTTTAGGGGAAAATAGAAGGAGGAAGGAGTATTATGTATGTTCACTGCTTTGAGTTAGTTATAAAAATAATAAAGACAGGATAAAAAAATTTCTTAAAAAAAAGGGGCAATGAAATAAATTGTTCTTTGCAACCAGAAAAATTGAGAATTAAATTATCTTAATTGTACTGAGCTACAGGGGTGGTGGGTGGTATTTATATGCATTATTCACACAAAGATACAATCGATCTTTTGTTCTAAATTTATCCAAAATAGCAAGAAAATAAAAAGCTTTTAAAATTGTTTTCTTTCCAAAACAATTTGAAAAAAGAATGCTGAGAATTCCTGAAAACATCAATGTGTATTTGAAAAATTCCCTTTTCTTCAACACTTAAACTGACTGCCTTCCAATTCCACCTTAAGGCGAAAGTAGTGAAGAAAGAGGGAAAGGCAAGTTTCTGTTTGCCACCTTTTACAAAGGTTTGATTCATTAAACTGTTATTTTAAAGGGGAAAAAAATCCAAATACATAGATCATTTTCTGTGGGTAGAGAAATTATATTCAGCTCATATTCTGCCTTCCAAATTTTATGCTATAGTCAGTTATCTGGAGATAAGGCCATGGAACCCCAAAAGTACTAGAGAACCAGGCAACCCGGAGGGTTTTTTTGGGGGGGGGAGGTGTCCTCCTTAATTTTTCGCTCAGTTCTTTTTAACAGCATTTTAACAGTGTTTTCTGATGATTATCTTCCATTAAATTTAAGATATGGGAGAGAGAGAGAGAGATTGACATTTTGGAATAATTTCCAAGAAAAATACACCAAGAAATACATTAAGAAAAAAAATCAAA